AATAAATTTTAAAGCCTGGATCAAACATAAAAAAGCTGTCTAATGCCTAGATAAATGGGAATGGTGCCAGTGTTAAAAGTCCTTCTATCACCGAAATTCGAACTCTTAATCTTCGATTTATCATCCGGTTGCCAGATAACGCGTATTTTACGCAGGTGTTAGCCTGCTCGGACGCCCACCGAAATTGCGCGAATATTAATCGGTTAATAATTGTATAATTGTGGTGATTACGTTGCTGTAGTAAAAATATGCATGTAAAATTGCTAGGCTTAATACCAAAAGAATCCTAAAGAAGCTAAAATACGCAGTGCCGAATGACCGACTAGTAGAACGAAGCGAAGATGGGATGATTGCATTTAGGCTGATCTAACGGGGTCATTAAGCGTCAAGGACTTCAGACCCATAATACATACAAAGAATTCCCTGACCGATTAAGGTTATAGATTTCCATGGATTTCTAATATAGCACTCTCCTATGTTAATATAGATTTATATGCCTAATTTACCAAAGTCATTTCTGAAAATTTGTCTTTTTCTTATTAACCTGTTATTGCTGTTAAATTTCATTTCTATTTCATCCACACAACAATCAGCTATTTGTAGCATACTCTATACTCTTTTGTGTTTATTTCTCCCTTTGGATGTCGTTCCTAGAACGAGTGCATGGGACGTCGAATGGATTTGATGGCCAAGAAATAATAAAAGCTATATTGAAAAAAAAATGTTTCTCTTAAAAATAAAATATATTAATATATTGGCTCGATGATAGCTTTAAATGAGTCATAACGAAAGTCGTACAGAAGTCATTTTCAAATACAACATGTCTTTACATAACAACATGTATTGTGCTAACATTCCATTTATACATTCTAGTTCAATTCACAAACGATTCAATTAATTATGTTCCATAGGTCAGGATTAATGTATTTAACATATGGGTTAACGATTATGAGTTCAAATACAACATGTCTTTACATAACAACATGTATTGTGCTAACATTCCATTTATACATTCTAGTTCAATTCACAAACGATTCAATTAATTATGTTCCATAGGTCAGGATTAATGTATTTAACATATGGGTTAACGATTATGAGTTTTTAAGTTCGTCGCTCAGTTAATCTAGCTATAATAGCGTTGTCAAAGTAAGATTCATGACAGACTTATAGGACAGTACTTAAACTTAATGTACTGATATTCTACCATTAATTATTAAATGTTACCTAATGACGAGTCTATACCAAAAACTATATATATTTTATGTCTAAGAATATTATGAATTCAATATATATTTATTGATAGTTTAATATAATTACTTTTCCTTTATTTTTATAATTTAAAATCAACTCAAAAGTATAGTAAAAAAAATAGATAAAAATTAACTGAAATCATATAGACATAAATATTATATATCATTTCAAAATAACCCAAAGATAGTTGTTGTTGAATATATTTGCAATGAAAACAATTCCTAATCATTTCGATGACTGATAACATTACCAAGAGGTTGTTTTATTGCGACGTTTACTAAAATCAGTGAACATACTTCTTCTGATAAAAGAAGTATGAAATTCTAAATACGCCGAAATATCTGGTTTTGGCAAGTTGCATGCCAGGAGTCCTTACGAGATAGTCATATCTGAATTTTTAAAATTTCTAGTGGTCGAAATTCTGGACCCGTAAACGAAATTCGGATAGATTTAATTTTTTAGTAGGATCTGAATATGTATGTTTTGTAAATATATCAGGAGAAAAAAAAACAACATATTTCAAATTTAAAATCCTACATATTTCAAGTTATTGTCTATTACAAGATATGCAAAAATATTAATGAGATTATTATTAAAATAATTTTGATGTAAATGGTAATTTTATATGTTCGATAACATAACCATTTTCTATAAAGTATAATCAATAATTTTTTTTTTATGAACAATTTTTATTGAGAAAAAAATACATTTTGCCTCAATTAAGGGCATTGAGTATTTATGATGAATGAAGTACAATCATACCATATATACAATAAAAGAACAACAAGATTATAAGAAAATAAAATAAAATAAAACTTGGAGTAACAGAATAAATCAAACATGATACAACATTAGATAAAAACTAAAAAAAAAAACTAAAAAAAAATAAAAACAATAAATAAAAACACATTCAAACTTATTTACAATATTTACAGTCAGCCGAGGGAGCTCCAAGTCGGGCCTTTTCCCCCACGTGTGGAGGACAAGGCAAGACTCTACGAGATCCCAGCGCTTCTCTCTCAGCCGCATCACTAGGATGGAAATCCAGTGGAGACTGAGAGAGGGCACTAAAGCCACATAAGCTCATGACAATCAATAAATTAGAACCCATTTTTCGACCCCAAAAACAAATAACCAAACAACGAAATTTATTTACTAAAAATAAAAATCTTTTATTTTGTTATGTATCGTTATAAACTGTTTACCACTTATAACAATTTTGTTTTGCCTTATTTTTTTTTTTAAATATAAGTCAATGTTTAAAAATAAGATTTTTTTTTTTTACATATTAAAAACAAATATGTTGTCCGATTTTGCACGAATTAATCTAGGATCTTGATTCCAATTAATTTATTCTTTTACGATCATTTAAATGTCTGATACATCAATTTAATTCAAATTTCACAAAATTAAAGAAAATAAGTTAGTAAAAACTTTGTAATATCCGCATATTTGCCTAGATAACATTAGTAAGTGATATTAAAGAAAATGAAATACCTGGATTTTGAGTATGACGAAGTTATGAATTTCCCCGCTTTGATTCACAGAAAGACTTGCTGTTAACAAGGGTCATATTTTGAGTATGATGAGGTTATAAATTTCCCCTTATAAATTTCATCTGATACGATATTAATTTGCGAAATTACTAAAATTTCCTAAAACGCTGGACTTTATCCCTCTGTTATATTTGTCTTTCGTAAACGAGTGGTTGATATTTTTGCAATTAGCAGAGTTAGTTGATGGATAAAATTTGGTATGGGAGTTAAATACTTGGGTTGTTCAATAAAAGATATTTTCCAAACATATAGACTGGAACATTTATTCTTACGCTTGTTACTAAAACGACAATTTTATTACTAATTTAATTTTAGGCAATTTTCAATTTTTATATCTCTAAATTTAAGTACATAGAAGTACTTCGACAACTTTCAACTTATATCTGCGCGGTTTGAATTAGTTTAATTAATTCATCTTATTTATCAGTAAAATTATTTTTTAATTAATATTATTTTGAAAATTTTATTCGTAAGATGTTGTACTATAGTAAGCCACTAATGTAATCCTTCACAGACTATTAGAATAAACAATATCTTCGCTTAGAATGTGGAATTGAATGAAAAAGGCTCCTTCCCATTACTGAATTTTCAACAAAGTTGTATGGAATGTTTTTTTGTTCTAACCATTTTCAATAAAAATGTAAATTATTATTATGGAAAATGAAAAAATCTATCATATTTTCATTAAAATTGAGATCTTCATATAGATAGTACAAAAAAAGCACTTCTCTGTCTCCAATTCATTATATTTAGGGATGAGTAGGGATGCACCTAACTGGTCAAAATTCCTCTTGGAAATTCTGAAATATTCCCTAGAAACAGCCTTATCCACCGAATTACTAGAGCTCATTTGACCAAGAGGACGCCACTGTAAGTGCAGAAATATTGTGAGAAAAAATGTGTATATATATAAACTGGTGGTAAAAAAAAAAACCATCGCACCTTGAATTTTACATGAACGCCGCAGATTAAAGAACTATATTTGAACCTGAAGTAATTACAGGTATATGGAAGGTCAAAGGGGATTTTATTATCTATAAAATATTTATAGATCAATTTTCTTTAAGTGTTTTGAAGGTTAGCTTGGATGATAAACAATCAGAAATTTCAGTCATAATATGTTTATTAGAGTTGCCGACGTTTCGATTCAAGTTTGTGGTTCGTCATCAAGGCTAGAATTAAAATTAAATAGACAGATGAGAAAAATAAGAAAAAAGAAACAAATATCACATGTAACTTAATGTTAAATTAAGTGGTAAGGATGAAAATAAAAATTGAGATAAAATTTTCTCTTAGAATAAACGGTGTGAATTTTAGAATTATAAAAAGACATTGGATTACATTAGACCGTTTAAAAGTGAGAATTTATAACTAAAGGAAAATGATCATATAAGTATATCTTAAAAACTAATAAGATTAAATAAGTATTTAGTTAAAAAGAATATGATTATTATGTGGAGCTTATTACTTAAAGCCACACATTTATTTAATTATACTCTTTTTAGATGAGGTACCCATCCCCACCAAGGTCGATGGGACAACACCAATTTCTACCACAAATATCTTGCCACATTATTAGTAAAAGCATATTATATTTTTAGAGGCGAAGTACCTTTTCGTTGAACATAAAATATATACTTTAGTTGTATAGGGGTTATCTCTGAAATATAAAAAACTTGTTAATTTTCAGGGAAAGAAACATCGTTCCCGCAATATTATTTAAGTGGATTGAAACGGTATAAAATGGTTAGTTTGGTTAATGTAATTTCATTTAGTGCATTATTTTATTGTACCTAATTAATGAATTTGTTAATATTACTCTTAATATATGAATAAAAGTTCCAAGAATAATCCAATTTTCTTAAAAAATGATTCAATTTTTATACGCGGAAAACAGTACGTGTAGTACGTATTTAGAGCCAAGTTGCTCCAACTCCGATAAAGATTAAACTGGGTTTAATCCTAGACAAGGCTTAATCTAAGCTTTACTGTGTTAGAGCAACTGACCCTTAGTGAGTACAACTTATCATCGCCTACAAATTTTTGTTTTGAACTCAGATCAACATAAGCAAACAGTCAGTTTTTAAAATTTTTTTAGAACGGAAAAATTCTTAATTACTTTTAACGTATCAAAAAAAATATTCGTTTCATGAAACATTTATATGCATTACAATTATTTTTGTTATTTTTCAGTTGATGAGAAGCCCTCAGGCCTCGGGGTGCGCCACCTACAAGCTGTCCTCCTCTTCCTCTGCATCACCGTCAACTACCTCATGAGGATCAACCTCAGCATAGGAATAGTCCTCATGACTGACCGCAACACCACATCGGATATACCTGTAAGTATACCTCCAATAATCCTCATTAAAATAACTAGAATAGCGTCGAGTCGCTAAATTTTCAGACATCAAACGCGTTCTATCCTTCTAGCCTTAAGACCTACGAACAATAGTAAATACTCCATTATATGTAAGAAACAAACCCCTGAATCATTACCTTAATATCCCCTTTGTCCTAAACCTTATCCTAAAAAAATTCTCCAAATTCCACCAGAATCTTATGCGTCGTTCCATCTTCACAACCTTAATCGAAGGTAGCCTCGCGACCTTTTGTAGTATACACATATTGGAGTTCTGGTAATGGTCATATTCTTCACTCAAGATATGAGTGTGTTTGGCTAAGGCGCTCTATCTAAATCTAAACTAGCTTTAGTATTAGTGACGCGGTTGAGAGAGTAGCGCAGAGATTTCCTGGAGTCCTGCTTTTCGTTCCTTAGGTGCAGGGACTAGCATGGTTCGGAGTTCCCTTGCCTAATTGTAGGTATGTCTGTTACTTTATTTTACTTGATTTTAAGTTTGTTTTATTTTTATTTATTGTATATACTTTTTAGTTATCATTTACTTGATATTTTGCATCTGTTTTACTATATTTTTTTTATGTTTTCTGTAAATATGGTGTGAATGAATGTGAATCTTTCCTCACTATAACCATTACCCGCATTTTGACTGAATGTTATAATACTCAATAAAATAGTTTTATAAAAACCAAAAATCTTTTCTTTATACAGTTTTATTGCCAGTGTGGATGATTCGCATGGGTCGATTAGAAAAATTCATAACTGGAAATAATAAACCATAGCATTTGAACCAAATGTTGGTTATTCGTATATGATTTTTGCTGAATGGCTCGGCTATTCTTCATTAAATGTTATACACATAAAGTTATGATCCATTTCCAGAAAGAACATTCAATTTAACTACCCCATAAGAATCCATAAATTTGTGTAAAACAAAAAATCGTCAAATTACAAACTACTTAAATTCAAGATACGCAGCTATATATTATTGAATTAAGGAATCGCAGTAATATGGACTCGTTAATGCAATAAAAATTATGTGCCAAAAACGTAATCAGCAATATAACTAACTATACCACTTATAAGATATGAGAAGGAGTTAGTTGAGGGTGCGGTCAAATAATTAAAAAAAATTAAAATATATAAATAATTTTAATTTTTGCCGACGTTTCGACCCACTTTGTAGGTCGTCTTCAGGGCGTTGGATGTGGCACTGCGGGAGGCAGTTGAAACACCATAGGAAAGATTCACATTCATTCATACCATATTTACAGAAAACATAAAGAAATATAGTAAAACAGATGCAAAATATCAAGTAAATGATAACTAAAAAGTATATACAATAAATAAAAATAAAACAAACTTAAAATCAAGTAAAATAAAGTAACAGACATACCTATAATTAGGCAAGGGAACTCCGAACCATGCTAGTCCCTGCACCTAAGGAACGAAAAGCAGGACTCCAGGAAATCTCTGCGCTACTCTCTCAACCGCGTCACTAATACTAAAGCTAGTTTAGATTTAGATAGAGCGCCTTAGCCAAACACACTCATATCTTGAGTGAAGAATATGACCATTACCAGAACTCCAATATGTGTATACTACAAAAGGTCGCGAGGCTACCTTCGATTAAGGTTGTGAAGATGGAACGACGCATAAGATTCTGGTGGAATTTGGAGAATTTTTTTAGGATAAGGTTTAGGACAAAGGGGTTATTAAGGTCATTTTAATGAAGAGTACTGGAAAAAACTAATAAAAAGTAAATCTATTTAATTAATAAGGCCAATTTAATAGATAAGACGTTTGTATTCCACGATGGTACATCGTTTTTAAATATTAAATATTGTCCAAATTTCTAATAAACTAATATTTTCGATTTCGAGTATGACCTGAATTCTACAAACAATATATCCTCTATAATAAACTATAGAAGTAATATTTTAATACAAATCAGCAAGCTGTTGTACCACCACTAGTAATTTATCAATACATGATAAATGGCGGACATGATATAACGACTTTATCAGCTGTATACATGTAAAGCCCGCACACTAATATTAAATACAATATATTCATAGAGTACACCTATCATTTCCCGAATGGCATTGACATTTCCAATCAACAATACCTTGTTCGAAAGAAAAATCCAAATAAAGTATCTAACTTTACCTTCATTTCATATTAAGTAATAATTTGATGAAATAATTCGAAACTTAAAAAACTTAAGTTTCAAATGGTGCAAAGTCATTCGTTCATATTTTCCGTATCCAACCTTTCCGAATAAAAGTCCCCTTCAAATTTAAATTTTTTTAATTTAGTACCACTTAATTAACTTGAGAATCGTCAAAATACTTCAATTTTTATAAATGTGTCTGGAGTTCTATTTCCATTTGTTCACCTCTTCAGTTTTGTTTATAATTTTCTCTGGTTCTGCTTTATCTCGCCATTTCCTTTTTTCATTTTTTATATGACTGACGTCACTAGTAATTTTTCATCAGCCATGGATCAACCCTGGGGCCGGGAGACGCTCCAATAGCAAACCCAGACTGTATTATGTTAGCACTCTTAATTAAAAAATTAATTAAGGGGAAAAACCTGGCAGTTGAGCGTGATATCGGCCCAATCATCTCTCAGCACAACTTCTTGGCCTTGTACTTGTACTTCCTCACATATTACTGTAGCCAAGACCCTTCCATGGGTTTTTTGTTTTGTTTTTTCAATTTATCTATTTGCACCTTACTTAATTCTTAAATTGTTAGTATGTGGAGTTTGTTGGAAAATACTAAAACTATTCATGAAAAACCAGAAAAGCATTTGATCTGTTTCATCTATCATTTGGATGCTTGTCATTCATTTACACAATTTGTATTCCAAGTTAAATTAAAATTTTATAGTTACCTATATTTCAACGTGGATCAGTTTTAGGAAGCCATAGTTCGATAAATATCCCATAAACTCAACATCATTTTCAATAAATTTCATATTTGATATCTCAAAAACATATCATTTTTGCCCGGTTCCAAAAAATTAGCAGATTCTCATTAGGATTCGTATATGTTGTTGTGTGTCATGTTTTTTACGGAGACTTTTTCAGCTTTGCAGTATTTAAATTCTTCCCAGGACAGCATTACCTACCTTACCCTGAACAACACTACTATCTGATTCCACGCTATTCTATGTTTATAAATGCATATGCCGTATCCTAAATATGGCATTCAATCACCATTAAATTTTCTTAATAATTTTTTATTCCATTTAGTATATTCTGTCATATATATTCATGTAGGACTGGTATCAAATATTCGATGAGAAAGGTCAAGAGGTATTTCCAACCATCTGGTTTGCTTCTTACTTTGTCTCGAATAAAATTATCTGTAATGACCTTTATTAATTATCTACATGTTTCCTATTTATCCCTATCCACCTGCTTATCCTTCCATAATAGACTTCAAACCCATCTAAATCCACTCATTTCTAACCTTGCATCCTCTTTGATTCTGGGCATCCCTCCTTGTTGTCTGAAAAGTCTTTAGGACCTTTTAATAGAGAACTATAATTTGAATCTTACGAATAGGTAGTTTCTCTTCAAGTCTGTACATGCCATATTACCAATTGACATTTACATGTTCTAATTTAAATGAATACAGTTGTAAATTCCAATAAATATTTTTTTTTTTATAAAATGCCTCTGCCGTTGGCCATTAGGCCATTTGGCTCAATGAATGAGTAAAATTTTATTTTGTTTTGTTTTTTAGAATTTTATTAACACTTTTAGTTTTTATGAAAATCTGTGTTCGGTTTAAGACACTTTCTTGAAGAATGTTCCATATATTAATTACAAATATTAATGGTTTGTTGACAGGTTTTTGATTGGACCATGAAGCAGAAGTCGAGCGCCCACAGCTCTTTCTTCTTTGGCTACTTATTCATGAACTTGGCAGGTGCAGTCTTAGTCACCAAGATCAACAATAAATTCCTTCTCCTAGGCAGTGTCACCATCTCATCCGCTGTGACTGTCGCTACACCAGCCTTGGTTATTATGGCTGGGTTCTACATGCTTATCCTGATAAGAATAATTCTAGGCTTCATGCAGGTAAATTAACATTTGATAACATGTTTATCTTATTTGATGTTTTTATGTACCCCAATTGGGGCAGGAGCAAGGAACTCTAAATGTTATTAAACTACTTTAATCATAAAGCTAAACATGAAATTTATAACATGATTCTGCAAGAAAAAAAAAGTCATCCTGTAACAGCCAGAATCGAACCTGCATTCACTTATGCACCAACACAGTAAACCAACCACCCCTGTAAAAATATGTTAATAATATTTATTCACTGCTCATTTCCTAATAATTAGTTCAATGAGAATAATTTTTTCATTTATTTAATTATTATAAAACCTGCCAAAATGACGTATATTTAAAATGATAAAGAAATAAGTAAATAAATAATATTAAAACATAAATGAATGAAATAAAGGAGAAGTTATCTAATAAATATATATAATAATAATAAAGAAAGTTCAATGATAAAAGCAAAATTATAAATAAATTTCAAAAATTAAAAGATTTGTAAATAAATTATAATAAAAATTAATAGATTTTTTTTGTGTGTCCTCCCCTTCCTCGCCGTTAAGGCTATACGGGGTTTTCCCGGGCCAGGGGATGTGGGCGGGGATTTAAATGACTCCCTCGGCACCGGGACGCGAACTCGTGACTATTTTTATATCATTAGATTCATATGTCAGGTCAACGGCGGTGCTGTGCACACGCTTTAGCCCATTCGGCCACCCCGCCCACTAAAAATTAATAGATAACAAAAAAGTAAATTCATGTCGAATAAAAATTTTAAAAATCATCTAAAACTCATTCATACCTATACACAATATTTACATTCTCCCAAGAGGTTGCGTACTAACATTTTCTTTCACATGTGGAAGGCAATGCAATGCAGCTCCAGGAGAAATCATTAATCATTAAGGTCGATTCACATTAAATGAGCAGAGGATGGTAGGCGGCACTTTAAGGTAATGAGCTAATCAAAATCGCTCCAATCTTATGAACCGTTCAAAACTGACGGTGATGTGAAAGTCAAAATTAATTACCATTTCCTGAACATTGTTTCGATGTAGGAGTGATTCTTGCCAAATCCTTCCATAAATATAAATAGAAAATGTAATTTGAACAATGCTTAGCAGTGTATAACAAGCTCTAAAAAAGGCAATGAAAAATATATTGTAATAAAAATCGTTTTTCTGATTTTTTTTTTTTCATTTTTCTAAACCATTGCATATGTTGATACAGCCTAGAAAGTCATAGTTGGGTGCAGAAATTATGGACAATGTAATTAAAAATCAATTTAACTTGCTCAGTTCTGATCACAATTTAATGAAACTAATTTCATAATTTTCAATAATTTTTAAATGTTTGATCTTTAAATTATAATGTTTATTCACACTTCTGATAATTATTTATTCTTAGTTTGAATTTTGGATTAAAATGTCCCTATAATTTAACTCATCCTTATTCCCATCACTATTATTAGGCTTATAGTGAGATTGATTTTCCATAGTTTTTAGATTTTTGACCTTAAATTATAATGTTTATTTTCACTTAAGTTTATGCCTGACAGGTCACTATAATAAAAATAGATAGTTATCAGACGTTAATTTTTACTTTTACTGAACTGTGAGGCATAAACTGTGAATTCAGAAAAGTGTGAATAGGCAATTTCATAATTATTACTTTCTTAAATTGGTGTTTTTTTTTTCAAATCTAAATTGGAACAGAAATAGCATTAAAACCTTTTTCAGCCAAATATGCTAAATTATTTATTCATTTACATGGATCTCAAAAAATCAAAATACACCTAAAAACATTTTATTTTATTTTGCAAGATAAAATTTATAATTTGAATAGGTTTATTTGTCCCCAAGAAGGCTTCATTGAACTTCTGTGTTTCCACTACTATTCTGTCCACTTCTGATGCTTATATTATCTTCTTGATTTTCAACAATTTCCTGTTTTATGTATACAAGTTATAAATAATGCAATGATAGATTCAGTAAAGTTGAAAATTGACCTCTTTCCTCTAATTTTTGTTGTTAAATTTTGTAAAACTTAGGAATTTGATTTTAGGGATTTATGATGGCTTGTGTTATGGGCCAAATGTCTCGATGGATTCCAGCAACAGAAAGAAGTAGATGTGGTGCAATAGTTTTAGGAGGTATTTATGAATATCATATTTTATTCTTTACACCAATAAAATTACTAAAATTTAAAGTATGTCTATAGTATCACAATAGTAAAACATAGAGAGTAGCAATAATGTATCTAATGTAGAGTATCATTATATGATAAACTAAATATTAATTTATTGATGCTTAAATTATTAACTAATTTTATTTCTTCACCAGGAGTACATTTCGGGACCATTGTATCCTTTGCTACCTCTGGAGTGCTTGGCACTAAATTCGGAGGCTGGCCAACAGTATTCTATTTTTCTGGCTCACTCGGTGTAATATGGGTTATTATGTGGGCCATGATTGGAGCTGAATCTCCTAACTCATGCAGATATATTAGTGTTAAGGAGCGGGATTACATTGTGGAAGAGCTATCTAGTAGTACTTCATTACCTGTAAGTAGTAGTTTATAAAAGCATGTTTCAATTTTTATTAATTTTGTTAATTTATACTGTTATTAGTACCTCTGAACTTGTATTGGATTTTTTCGTCTACACCATGGGGCTCAATGGGTACTCAATATGGATTTAAATTCCCTTGTAATACTCATAATCTTTTATAAATTTATCTGAGGTCCCAAAAGGTGTTATTAACACCACTAAGGACTTCTGAAATATGAGGTGTCACATTGAACTTTCTTCCACTTCTAATTTTAAGGAAGATCACAATCCTACTTGGAGGTATTCTTAATCCTTGTATAATTAGTTATAGAGTGAGCCCTATCAATCCTGTCTCTCGAGAGGATTGGTTGTCTTGGCAGGGACCTTCCTCATCCGATCCTGTGAAAATGTCTTTAAAGGTAATCATGTTCCCTCATCATGAGAAACATGCCACTGAGAATTTCCTAAAACATAGATTTATAATCAGTCCTTCCTTTAAACTTTCCTATATTTTAATTAGATTATCAATGGGATTGTATCTGAGACATCAGCATGATCAAGGCCATTGCTGCTGCAGATCACCCTTCAACATGGTGACTAGTGAGTCAACTAAATACTATCTGTGGATAGCTGGATTTCTGCTCTATTTTAGAAAGAGCAGCTGAAATGGCTTTGACCTCCCCATCGGAGTTTGTGCCCTGACTACCAGCAGAAATGGACAACTCTCTTTGGTATAAGCTAGCACCTATATTCCACATAACTGTTGGTTTGGAGCCATGTATGTATAAGTGGAGCCAATTCTGCTTAGGGTAGAGACAAAGGATTGTTTCTAGATCAAATGCTTTCATTTTCCATTCATATAGCTCGTGTTAGGTCTATTTGTGCCTCTACAACAAGTTTTGGCTAATCCCTACCCTATTAAATAACTGGCTTATGACTAGAAGTATTTTCTTTCTAACAATTTTTTACCTTTGACCCGTTGTGGTTTTTTTTCCTCCTTAAGGTGCTGGGAAGATGTTTTTTGAATATCCCAGCACTCAACTCAAATCGCTTCATTCTCTCAATGTGACTGGCAGCCTCTTCCTTTCTTGGTTGAAGAGGTTTTATACTCATTTTTATCTCTACAGTTGCAACTGTTGTACACTTTGCTGCTCCTGTAATCATCCTTAAAGTGTTGTTTTGCACCGTATTATGTTGACACAGTTAATTTGATCTTACTTGCATACAACATTGTTGATATTATATATGACTTGTAAGTCTTTAAACTAAACCTGGCATTCCTTCCTCTTGCTCTATTAATTTATCTACATAGTTCCTCCAACCAAGTTTGATATCCACCCTAATACCAAGATATGTTGTGAAATCAGTCTGACCCAGTTTTTCATTTTTATAGATATTTTTCCATGTTGTCATTTAGTTGAGAGGGTAAAGACAGTCCAACATACCTATATATTTCTTGCACAGACCAAATTAATCTATATAGTTGAATAAACCATTTCTTAATTTTCTATTTTAAAATAATTTTACAGAAAAATGTCAAAATACCTTGGAAGGAAATGTTGAAAAGCAAACCATGCTGGGCACTTTTATTGGTTACAATTGGTCAAAATTGGGGTTTCTGGACACTTGTCACTGAAATGCCATCATATTTCAGCTCTATACTTAACTTTGATTCAACAACAGTAAGTGTTCATATCAAATCTCTTAAAATTTTAACATTGCATTGATGATTTGTTTTAAAAAATTATTTATTGCTTTTAGAATGGATACATGTCAGCATTGCCATTTGTATCATTGTGGATTTTTTCTTTTCCTGCGTCATACATTGCAGATCTACTTGTCAAGAAAAATATTATATCAGTAACGGTATGCAGAAAGGGTTGTAACACAATAGGTATGTATTAAAATGTTAATATAGCACATAAAATAAATAAAGTATTGTTTATGTTATGATTTTGCTAACAAAATAAGTTAAATATCATGGATGCAATTAGAATCATCAATCAGATAGTAAACAGCATGAGTTTAATGAATTAATCCTTAAGAAGACATGGAAGATTCATAGCCAATATTTCTAAATTATATTTTTTGTTGCATGTTTATAGCTCATTGGGGAGCAGCAGTTGCACTGATCATCCTCACTTTTACAAAGAATGATAAGTTGGTTGTTATAATTTACATATTTTGTGTGACAATGATGGGCTTTGCAACCATTGGTTACAACATTAATCATCTTGATATTGTGCCAAATTTTGCTGGATTTTTAATGGGTATCACAAATGGGCTATCCAATATAAGTTCTATTCTGGCACCACAGTTTGTTGGTATCATAGTGACAGATTCCGTAAGTATGCCTTAAGATATGAAATATACATACAATAAAGATAGTATTAAAATATTATAGCCAGACTAATAATTTTATCATGCACTTAAGGAAAATATCACCCTGAAGCCTGAATAATAAATTAAATGACAATACAACTTATTTGGGCCAAAATTGAACAATGTATTAATTTAGTTTATTATCTACTCCCAATAGGGCAGAAAGGGTGTATTGTCCAACAGGTAATTTGCTGATGTTGTTCAACTTACAAGGAGAAAAGATACCTCTAAGTGAGGCTGTTATTTACCTTGGCATAAGAATAGGGGGAAAGTTTAACGTTGCACCTTACTTGTACTACATGAAAAGTAAGATGGCCCTGGCTCTCAATGGACTTACTTGCGCTTTCTGGGGTCTCAGGTACCCAACCACATTGACTATTTATAAAGGAGTCGTTATGGGCATCCTGAGATATGTTTCCCCTGCTTGGAGTCATCATCTCACACACCAACTAAAGAAAAGGTTGGCAACAATTCAGCAGATAGCTCTGCTGCAGTTCACTAGAGTGTATCAGACAGTGTCTCATGAGGCAGTACAGGTCTTAGCCGGAACTACCACTATTGATCTTCTCCTATGAGAAGACTACTATTGACACAAGATGAAGAGGTAAGGCCTGTTGGATCTACTGGTGAATCTCCGATTGTGGATCAGTGAAGATCCTAATAGTTGTGACGCATGCATTACCACCCACTACTGCATAATACCCGTATTGCCTTACCGGCAGGACAGAGTTCAAATATATAAATAAATAATGATGCTGTTCAACTTTGCCATTGAGAAGGCAACATGAAAATAAACCTATCTATAACATTAAGATTGAAATTTATATTATATATCCACTAAAAAGGAAAAACCAGTTCTTTAAAAATATGTGATATCTGCTAATGCTTGATACTAAAGGGTTTCTTCTCTGCAAAGTAACTGAATGGATAGAAATGGACTGAAAATTTAATTCAAAACATTCCTGTAGTTTACAAATGTTCATTAACCGAAAAATCTTTATTGGAGTTTTATTACAAAACAATTTTATTTTTTATCAATAGATACATCAAAACCTGGGTTAATATAAACTCTAACCTTCTTCAGTGACAACAAAGTTAAGTTGTGGGATTAAAATAAAAATTTATGTCAAATGAAACTTACTAATTTAAGATACAGGCGAGAATGCTTGAGTGAAGTAATACAAAAAGTAACTCAATTTAAAAACGTTAACCTATAGAACAATAATTGTGTCATTATCCTCTTTTATAATAGTGACAACAATTGCACAATTTAGAGGAAAGCCCTTACAGTAAGCTTTTACAAGTCAGAGGTAGTTCTCTTTGGAAATATCAGATTTTCTTTATTAATTTGGTACATATTTTTGGTGGTAAAGATTTCAAATTATTAAAGCTAACTGTAGTAATTAGAACAAAAAATTATACTAGTGCATATTTCATTTCAGTTTTATTGTTCTAATCTAATAGATTCATATAGGTTTGTTGAAATTTCATTACAAATATACATACCTCTGAATTTATTAATTTATATATTATGATTTCAGACTAATGCATTTCAATGGAAAATCGTGTTTTGGGTATCTGCATTAATTTTCTTTCTCGGTAATTTAATTTTTATAATCATGGGAAAAGCAAAACCACAACCATTTAATGAAATACCAGGTAATTATATTTCTTATAATATTAATAAAGTTATCATAATTTATATTTTTATTTAAAAATCCAACAAAATATTTTGAAAAGAAATATAGAAAGTAGAGATAGTCAATCGAAACACAACATGATGTACAAATGATAAATAATCAAATATAATAAACTATCAATATAATATTTATAGATAACATGTTAGTACAATTTTAAGTGTCATAATATCCATATAATTACTCTTTTTCATTTTCTAGAAGATATAAAGACTCCTCACAAGAAGATGAGCATCGCAAGTATCTGTTCGAGACCTTAAAAACAAAACAAAAAAAACTAAATATGGCAAACATCAATGGAACTGCAATCCTTTTCCAGATACAACTAAAATAAGTAGTATCTATTTGCTAATGTTTTAAAATTCTGTACCTGATAATGAAACAAAACCAACATCCATGGTTTGAACATATCATAAATTTTACTACTAAAAAAAAAAAAAAAAAAAAAATTATTTTGGCTCTAGTCAAATTGTAGTTTAAAAAATTAATTTGAAGGAAAAATTTATCAAATTAAAATAAATATACCAACTGCTAATAAAACATTTATAAACTTTTACATAATTTAGCAAATTAACAATTTAAAAAATAGAAACATTATATTTCATATCATTCAACCCAATAAATCAAGTTAATATCAGATATGGTAAATCCCAATATTCAATAGTTTATTGAAAACCACTTTGTTTCCCTTTTTTGTTGTACTTGCGGTTTTTAAAAAGTTAAACAATTCAAATAATTGTGTTAAGCTTACTGACATTCAATTAATCATTATTTTGTTGTTTTTTTTGGTGAATTTTTCAATATTTTTCTATTGGGTCACATCATCAATTTTAATTTTTATAAAATAAAAACTCTAAGATTGCTTTTGTTTAAAAGGCTGGATAAAAATTGAACAGTAGAGAGGAAAAAATATTACCAACCACTGTTAGATAATTAGTTATTTTTCTTCCAAGAACAGAATTTAAAATATAATTTTGTGAGAAGTATTTAATTAATTGATACAAAAATAAAATCATTAACATTCCCTCAAATTAAAAAAGTTTTCCTTTAATTTATTATTATATTTTCAATTGTCTAGAGAATGAAACCCCACCTATATGGACAAATTCATGAATTCATATTGAATGTGACACATTAATTAATTTTCTAATATCAATAATTCTCAGCTACCAAAACTATAGTCATCAAGTACTTCAAAAATTACATTAATATTGGAATATAATTATGATTTCAGTTGCGAAAAATAGTTGATAATTTTAAAAAGGTTACTGGTAATTTTAACTGTGATTTCTATAATTAATTAGTGTGTAATAATAAGAATTTTTAATTGTAGAATGTAATGAAAATATTTTCATTAACCATGTAATGACCATACACCAAAACATTTAAAGATAATTCACAATCATTACTATGAATTACCATGATGCCAAAGTTTTATTGTATTTATAAATTGCCATTCATTTTTTTATTTTATCATGTTATGCTTCATTACCCTTAATCTATATATGATATGTATGTAATAGATTGTTATATTCATTTTATAAATTATTTTCATTGTATACTAATATTAATGTAAATAATATTAAGTATTTAAAGTTATGGTTTTCTTTCATACTTTTGTTAGTGTAAAAGAAAGAAATCAGCTATTAGATTTTTAAGTTCAAGTCATGAGTATTTGTTTTAAAGAAAGTCCACAGGAGTACTCTATATATTTTTTAAATATTAAATTTAATTATATTGTGTAAAAGCATTAACATATACAATTAGTATATGGTGGAATACATTAGAAATATTTGTACATATATTTATTTCTTTTTATTAAAAGATTGTCTCGTACAAGTTTTATTGTACTAATACATTGTAAATAAAAAATATGAATCTAAAAACAGCATTTATCTATACCAATTTACCTTTTTAGCACTTTTATTTTATTTTGTTAAAATTTAATTCTGTCTAATTATACTTATCTATTGTTGTTATCCCAAAGATGTAATTCTATTTAAGATGTATAACTATTTCAGTTTCTCTATATGTCTGAAACCAAAATCGAAGACAATGTTTTTAATGCAACATTACAAAAGTAGTATTCTTAAAATTAAAGAACTACGGAATCCTGTGATGAGAAATGCAAAAAAAAAAAAAACAATACATTGAGTATGCTCAAAATTTGCTTAACTTAATAACCATTTCATAGGAATACCAGAGAAATAGAGAATTAGAAAAAATCCAATAAATTAGGGAAACCTACAAATTTTTTAATTTCACTTACCTATATTTGCAATATATAGTAAGAGAAAGGATTGTGATTATGGAAATTTTTTAACATTGTCCATTTAACTGTGATGGACACATTCGTTAATTAAAACATTTATGTTAGTTATTTGGGGTTTTACATTTTATGTACCTTAACTAAAACAGAGAAGGTTTATAAACAAATAACCAAACAATTGTAGCCAGCGTGATGTCAAGATTCATTCTGAGGATTCAGCACAAAATAAATTTCTAACCACTCATGAGCACATTTGAAACATGCTTAGCGGCCATTTATGTGTACTAACACCAAATATATTTATAATTGCCTAAATAAATGCATAGTATTTAAATATAAGTTAGAGAGTTTGTTGATAGGCTACTTCCCTATCAAATAATAAAAGTTGCTTGACAAGTCTGCAGAGACTGGAATAATGATAAAAAGAGATTTATTTCAGTTTTCACAGGAAACCTTTAGAAATATTTAGGCATTTATTTCTATTAAGAGAAAAAAAATCGCTATATCAGAAGTCAAATATTTATATAAATATAGGCTCACTAAATTTTTAACAGTAAGGAGTACAATATATACCAAAAACTTTAGCTACCATTACTATAACAAAATGCAACACATGATCAACAATACTATTATTTTTCATATTATCAAAGATATCAACACTAAAATATTAAGAGAATTACAACATTAACTCTTTGAGTGCAGGAGCTCATTCTTGTGTTTCCACCAGATGGTGCATCCTGAAATCCTAAGACGAATTTTTTTTTTCCATAAATTTGTTTAAAATGCTATTTTGAGTCACCCTGCAAGATCTTAGCTTTCAAAAATACATTTTAACCTGTTTATTAAACTTTTAATAAACGGAACATATGCCTTTCTGGCCGCACATAGCAATGCAAAATTAGAGCGGAAATCCTGCAACAGTTCGCTTTTTTGTTTATTTGCTCATTTCTTAATAGCAAAATAAATGAAAATTATGACAAAAATAACTGTAACTGATAATACAAATTGAATTTTATTATTTCTAAATAAAGGAAACAAACTGCGGGATTCGAATTATATATTTTATTTTATTAACAATTTTTTTTCTTACCTAAAAAAACAGCGCAGTTATAAATTTTATTATTGAACGTACATTTACTTTTGAATTTCAAACACTTTTATATTATATGAAATCTATATATACATATGTATATATAGATTTTAGGTGGATGAAAAAATGATAAAACTAAAGTATCATTTTAATTCTGTATATTTTAACATTTAATAATTTTTACCATTACATTTTAATTTTTGTATATTTTTCCATTTATTTATTAAATATGTGTATGTATATATATATAAAAGTGTAGGAAACTTACATTTATTTCTTTAGTAGACAGAGAGTCATGTGTACCAAAATCAGCATTCAGTCAAAACCAAAATTAAAAATTAACATTGATTTGATGTATAAAATTTTTAAATAAAATATAAAGAACATGATTGTGACACAAATATCAGAGAAAGGACATACCTTGGGTTCAGAATAAATCTGCAACTGATAGCTTCCCAATGATCAGAATCCAGAACGACCGCACTAAGGCAGTTACTCAGGCATATATCCCGGCAGCACCAGTGACCCAACTCACTACCAGGAAGGCATATATCCCATCATCACCAGTGACCCCACTCTTAATGGAAAGGCATGTATCCCGTCCACAGTCAAAGGATTAATGTTAAAATACCAGATAGCAAAAGCAAAATACTAATATCCCATCCCTAACAAAAGCTTAAATCTATCAAGGGTTAATCTGGACTGCTGTTAATAAAATATGAGTATAACAGCCTCTAATATGAGACTACATGAAACAGTCTTACCCATTGATAAGGATATTTTATATTGATGAAAAATATCCTCTTCAGAATTAAGGAGACAAAAATGGTTCCATTCATTTAAAAAGTCTGTGGTAAATTACATAAAACATTTGGTTTATCTAACATCTTGTTTCTAATGTAAGTGTTTTTTATTATCTCTCAATATCTATCTTCCTCCTTGTGCCATATCTAGTGTGGAGGGGCCTCAATCCAACACTGCCAAGCCTCACCGTCCCTACAGAGTTTCTTCATTTGAGGGAGTTTTTCCTTAAAATGTATTCCTCGAATTCAAGGTCTTCTACGTGGCCTCTTGCCAGTAAGCTATCACAATCTTTTTGGGTTCCCGGTCCTCGCTCATTCAACATATACAACAGAATCGCTTGAGCGTGTCTTTTTTCAAGGGTGAATTTTAGTGCAGGAATTTTTAGTCCCTTTTTTTTTTTTGGCGGGGATTTAAAAGACTTCTCCAGCACCGGGACACGAACTCATGACTATTTTAAATCCATTGTCTCAATATATTAGGTTGCCGGGCAACAGCAGTGCTGTGCACACACATTAGCCCGTTCGACCACCCTGCTCACTATTTTTATTTTATACATATATATTTTTTTTTTTTGGCTCCTTCCTAATCCTTTCATTTCTTACATGGTCTCATCTGTTTTTTTCCTGTGAACCAACGTACATACTTCATTTCAGCTCCTGTGATTCTGCTTATGTACTTGTCCAACTTGCTTATGTACTTCATGACCCAGATCTCGTTCCCGTAGGTAAGAGCAACAAGGTATACCGACTTGTAAATATGAAGCTTGGTTTTGTGACGGTCAACAATGCTATTGCAGATACTTCAATAGATTTGGTATGCTTTAGCATTCGGAAGTATTTGCTACTTCCCAATCTACTTTACACTGTTTATTCATGTTGATCCCCAAGTAATTAAAGTTCTCAACCACTTCAAGACCTCACCATTACAGTTCACTTCCACGTTTTGGGAAAGGACCAGCTTAATCTCAGAAGCATTGAGGAGCATTTGCACTTTTTGCTGAAGTCCCTCTTTTACTGTTTTCTATTAATTTATTCAAATTTTGGCATTGCATAAATATTAGGGTATCCCATAAGTCAATGATCAGATTTTTTTAAAACATCATCCAGAGGCTAAAGGTTAAGTTGATTCACATATTCTAAAACAGCTTCATAATTCTGTAAGTATATAGAATATCAAGTGATAATAATATATAGAATATAACAAAATAATAATAATAACTTTCTGTGAGGGAGTGGTAAAAGCTTGATTGTATTGAAAAACACTTTGCGTGAATTATTGAAGCACCATCTTTAATAATTACAGCAATCAAGAATATAACCATTCTAACGTAAAGATCGGATGATCCTTTTTTCAATGTTCCAGAATCCATACGAAAAGGAGTTAAAACTCTTTATGCATGAATTCATAACTATATTATAGATATTCTTCAGGTAAGCCATCTGGGGTATTCAAAAATTCCTAAAATGTTCCTGAATTTCTTCTTCTTCTTTCTCTAGCTCCTTTATGCCGTTAAACGTGGAGCTGCAGTCCCAGTCTATCTTGCCCACTGGTCTCTGTCCCTGGCTAGCCTTCTCATCTCCAGTATGATGCGTCCTTTTGCTGTGCCCAGTTTTCCAATATAATCATGGTAAGTGTCTCGGCCTGCCCCGAGGTCTTCTGCCTTCTGGTCTAGCTTCCATAAACCACTTAGCTTTTCGGGTGTCGTCCATTCTGCAGATGTGCTTAAACCATTTCAACTGCTTCTCTTCCAGGATGCCACGGATTGACGTCACCTCCAATTCCGCACGGATTCTGTCATTTCTAACACAGTCTCTCCTAGTCTTGCCAGCTATTCTTCGGAGGAATCTCATTTCCGCTGCTGTGATCCTGCCTATGTGCTTATCGAGGGTTGTCCAGCTTTCAGATCCATAAAGAAGTACTGGGAGGAACATCACCTTATAAATTGTGAGTTTGACCTTTCTGCTTACTTCCCGTTTTCCTATGATTGTATTGGCTATCTGGTAATATATTACACTGGCCTTCATCACCCGATTTAGTACCTCCTGGTCTATTTTACCATCTTCATTGATGATTGTCCCCAGATACGTGTATGCATTTGTTACCTCTAGGGGTTCGCCATTACTCCAATTCGCCATTACATCATAGACTCCAATCAGAATTAGAAGAATACCTGCAAACTTGGTGAGTGCAATTAAATCAATATACCAAGACCCAAAGGGTGTAATAAGGCTCAATGGACACACATCAGAACCGTTCCACTTTTATAAAGGAGTAAAGGGGATAGTCTTAGTCCTCTGCTATTTATCCTTCTCATGGATGAAATTTGGAAAGTGTGTAAAAGAAGAACCCCAAGGGCTGTTGTGGGATATTGGAATTTGACACCAGTGTTGGCTCAAGCTATGCTATATGCCGATGATATAATTCTTATAGCGGACTCACAAGAGGCTCTACAGACATCATTGGACGAGTGGAAAGAAGAATTAAAGCTGCGAAGGCTGCATTAAACCCGTCTAAGAGCAAGGTTATGTGTGTTGGAAAAGATAATGTGGAGCCTGAATTTCAAGGGATCATATATGTCTTAATCTGAGGTAGAAGATATCATGTACTAGGATGGTTTTATCAACTACAGCATCCTGATTCAATTTTTGGTTACAATGTAAGGAAATGGAAGAGGGAAAAAATTTATTGGCTGGTGGTTGTTTAAATAATACTTTAATTTCGACTTTACACTTAGTATAAAAATTTTATATAATAATTTACACAAATCTATATAAATCTTAAAATAAATAGGAACGAACCCCCCCCCCCATTTCAAGCTATTTTTGGTTTATAATACAATGTGGAGAGTTCTTCACAACTAAACATTAACAGTTTTTAGAATTTTTTTTCAATTTTCTTTTTTAATACAAAACAATCTTCAACCAAGGAATATATACATCAATCTATCATGAGAAAATCACTTATAAATAATCAAAAATTAAGATCACAGAAAAAAAAAGTCAGCGAAAAAAAAAAGAAGCATATAATGCCATATTTATTCATCATCTTGAATTTCAATAAGCTGGGGCTTATCTTTTTCTTTGCCTTTATCAGCATCTTTTTCAGTTGAGATTGGATTTACTGGAACCGTGCCTGAAAGTCACAATTTGCATTAATTTATTTCAATTAAACATCAATATGTAAGACCAATAAATAAAACATAAATCTTAAATAAAGATAAGAGGAGTACAAATCCACAAAACATTTTGTACTTGATAATCATGAGAGGCAATAATCTCACCTGGTTATCTAGCACAGAAACTGTTAAAATAATAAGAAATAAATTATAATTATTGGATCAATAATAATTAATGGAAAAGTGACTGTAACAATTTTTAAATTCTACAACTTGATTAGTGTCAACAGAAGATGAGAATTTTAATAATATGAATAATGTCAAGCAAAAAATTATTTAACTACAGATTAAAATCATTTCAAACTCTTAAAAAATGCATGCATTTTTTAATTATAATAATAATTTTTTAATTCAATGTATGTAGATGATAATAAAAGTTAATTTTATAAAATGACAGATAAATATTAAATAAATGATACAATATCTAAAAAGCCTATCACAGATTAAATTATTAATTACTTAAGTTGACCAATGGGCTACAAGAAAAAAATGTTGATTCAAGGTTATAATTAAACCCAGAGAATTTTAATAAGGGATCGGTTAAGTTATTAATAAAACATCAGAATATTACCATTATTTTTTCTTTTGAGATCAATGTCAGAATAATTCAAAATAAACTGAAATAATCTCTATATAAAATTAATTTATGATAAAGTCATTCTTAATATATTACTTAGAATCAATGAACTTCCAGAACTCACGCAAATGCTAGGTTCAGATTAAAATTATTAAGTAATTACAAATTTACCTTCAATGTCATCACTTATCTATTATTTTTTTTTTAATTAAACCTTGTACTAATTAATATAATGAAAGAGGTAAACATATCATGCGAATACCACTTACATAACTCTCTCCATAGTTGAAAACCAAGTAAATGATTCATAGATTTTTATTAATTAAAATTAAAATACACAACACACAAACATTGAAGTTTATTTTTACCTATATACCTGCTAGGTATATGTACAGGGTGTTCTGTAAGTAAAGGAAAATATTTATTGGGATTATAGCAGACCTCAGGAGCTACCAAAAAGTTTATACTAACTATGGTAGCAATTCTAGTAAAAAGAAACAAACGGACAATTTGAACTTAACGGATGATGAAATATCTTAACAGATCTAATAACATCAGCATATACAAAAATTTTGTGATACAAAATAAAAGATAAATAAAGGAGTCTATGAAAAGCATGCGACAAAAAAAAAAGTAAAAAAAAGAAACCCATGCAATTGTAGAGTGATAAAGAACACATTTTTACATTCAAGGGAATATTCTGTTCTAAAATAATTCACAATACAAATTTTATAAAATATTAAATGTACTTTTTAAAATATCTTTGACAAAAAGAAAAGGAATGATTTGATGATATGAGGGTATTTTCATTGGCACACGGCAACCTTATTATGATGATTATCAGAACATATTCCATATATTAATGAAAGTGGAAGACTGTAACATTTATAAAACATTGTGGAATTATTATAGAATTATATTATTTTAAGGGAGAACCGTAATTTAAAAATTGTTTTACAGTGTTAATAAGCTAACAGCAGTTAACTGGTTTAAAACAGTTGGTAGATACATAAAAATAATAAAATTGAAAAACTAATAAAGCTATTCAAACTAAAAATAAATTGTTATCTCTAATTTATTTATTAAAAAAAAAAAAAAATAAATACAGCTATAAAATAATAAGTATGTTATTAAGACGGAATAGTTAACAGGGATAAACTTTTATACTGTTTTAATTTTTTCGATCCTTTCAATTTTGTTCATTTCCTAGAATCAATTGCCTTGACCCTTTAGAATTTTTGTAAGGGATTTGGTCTAAATGGGGTCAACTTAAACAAAAAAGTTAGTGCTCTGGTTTTAATAAACCAAGTCAGGATTATTAGAGAATGATGTATAAAAGATTAGCATACTGCTCACAAACAGTTTATACTGTTCCTCCATTACTAGCATAAAAAAAAAAAAAAAATAATAGTCAATGGTGGTCCATTTCAGATGTTAATTACTATAAACTGAATGGTACCTGATAAACACCACAATTACTACGGATTGCCTGAATTATAAAATAAATATATATAATTTTTTTAAAAATTAAATATGACAACCGAACGGTAACCCATGGGCTGGCGCAATAGCAGAGAAACAACAACACCTTAATCAAAACAAAAATCATAATTTATTGTTACAATAACCATTTTTATTGCAGTAAAATTAGATTGGATGATGCCATAATAATCATTAGTTATATATGCTCAGCTTTCTGTCAACTAACTAGTGAAAAAACAAGCGCATGAATCAATTGCCATGACTCTTTAGAATTTTTGTAAGGGATTTGGTCTAAATGGGATCAACTTAGTGCTCTGGTTTTAATAAACCAAGTCAGGATTATTAGAGAATGATGTATAAAAGATTAGCTACTGCTTATCACATTCAGAAATCCTAGTCTCTTAAAAATGACGTTAAACCAAAGTAGTCCTGTCATTGGTTAACACATTAATCAATGTTCTGAGAAATAAATAGTCTATCTGATTGCCTACTACAGAATGGAGCCTGAAATGGTCTTGTAGATCTTTGGAACATTACTAAATCTTGCATTGGTCTATACTCTTGGTAAGAAAATCCAGACAAATAATTATTAATAATCAGTTGTTTTCATCCATCTAAGCTGAATTAAAAAAAAAAAAAAAAAAAAACTGAAAACAGAATGCAGGATAATCCTTCATTCCATGATCCATAGTAACCTAATTAAGCCGCCTTGTTTATCCATTTTACTTCATCAATCAAGTTACACCAATTAAGAAAAAATAGAATAATGGCTTCTACTACATCTATTATGCAAAATCTTCTAAATAAAAAAAAAGAAAAGAAATAGGGATCAGTAAGGCAAGCAGGTAAATAGGAAGTCACAACAGAAGCTTCAAAGTTATAACTTATTCCCACCAGAAGTGCCGAGACTATCTGCAGATGGCCAAGCACCACCGCCCAGGAATTGTCTAAGAATGTTGAAAGGATTACTCAAGAGATCACTCTGTGTGACATCTTTATCGGTTTCTGAAATAAATGTGTTTAATATTACAAAACACATGATGCATCTTCAGTTTCAGTGGCGTATAGATCACAAGCTAAAAAGAACTTTCAAAGCTTTAATAATGTTTTTATGTTAATAATTAGTTTAGATTTTCTTTCAATAATTCAATAATGTTCTTTAAGAATTATAGAAATATTTAATTTTAAGTTTTTGGAATAATTTTTTTTTTAAATTTATATTTTAATAGTGAATTAATTTGATAATATGTAAAAAGGCTTATAACACAAGCAATCATCAGTTTTTTTCATTGGTCAATTATCTGTGCAAATCATTTTCATTGTCATTTAGTGAAACATTTTCATTTTATACTAAGTTGCTTTGATTCACTGGATTTAACCTTTTAATTTTTTAATCTCACAAATGATTTTAGTGCAAAGTGTTCTGAAGTAAAATTTTCTCTATTATGAAACACAACCATTATATTGTAATTAGACTGCGTAAAAAAATCATAAAAAGAATAACATAAGCAATTTATATAATTCATTAAATGATATAGTAGGAATCTGAAGATAAGCTAAATTTGATTTTATAATTTTGAAAACTGAAATAAAGTGGAAACTTCTGTCAAGATAAATTCCTTAGTAACAGATTATTTTAAATTATGTAATTCAAGTGAAAAAAAAAAAAAAAACAATGAACATTTAATCACAGTTTAATAGTTAAAGATAATAAAATCACTTTTTTTAATGACAAACTTCCTTTTAGAATATATCTCAAATAATTCAAATTTTCATTATAATTTAACCAAAAAAAGTTAAATAAGTTTTAACAGGTTTCAGTAAAAATGAAAGAAAAATTTAGGTATTTTTAAAATGAAAGTTTATGGATCTATTAGTATTAACGAACTAAGAAAAGCCCCAAAACTATTTTTAGATACATTTCTTTTTTATTGTAATACAGCAATATAGTAATAACTTAAGACAGGATTTTCATGGAACAGCATCATCTCATTTTTCCGTAAGCATCAAATTCAGTCAAGCTATGACTTTAAATTTGAATCATAAAGAGGACATTCAATTGTCAATAACAAAATATTGCAAGAAATGATATTTTGGGGGGGGTTACTACAAAACGAAATTGTAATTTTTTATGTATAGAGATTCCCTCTTGAAAAATTCAAAAAAAATATATGAAAACATTAGAAATAAATTGTTTTAAAATTAAGATGATTCATTTTAAAAGTAACGATTAGGATAAAATCAAGATATTATACTTACGTTTAGGAACGTTATTCAAATTATTCACAACAGGAGGTGCGTTGAACTGCCTTATTGGAAGATTCATAAGAGCAGGGTTTTGATTGGGCCAGCCAGCCATCATGCTCTGATGAAAATTGGATAATCAGTAGATTGGTAATAAAGGAACTAAAATTAATAAGAAAAAAAATTTAAACAAACCATTTGCTGCTGTTGCTGTTGTATCAAACTTTGCATGATGTTCTGCTGAGTCAAAATTTCAGCTGCTCTTTTTCGGACAGCTTCTTCAGGCATTTGAGGATTCTAGCAGAAAATATTCACATATTACAATAAATAACCATGATTAGTTCCAAGATAAGTAAGAAGTATAATTAAGCCCATTTTTAAGAAGAAAAAAGTTATATTATATTACATCTAAAATATCAAACCGGGGTACCATGTATACATTTAAATATATTAATTTGTTTTATAATTGATAATTCGAAAAACTAGGTTTTTGCTTGAAACATGATACATTAAATAGTCAAAATAAAAGTACTAACATAAAGATAAAAAATACTATGCATGAACAGACTTATATATTCTTGATCATAAATAGAATTTGATACTAAATCAGTAATAAAATTGAATGAACAAACTTTTCAGAAAATACTTACACCCATTTTAACTTTTTGGACCAATATGTTCAACAGGTTGTTATATTCCATAGCAAACTGCATTGTATCAAACTTCAAACCTGCAAGTAACAGTATGTCTTTATATAACAACAGTAAATAACAGTGTGTTATACATTAAAAGGAAATATAAAGTGGTTGGTAATACATTTTTTTAATTTTTTATAATTAACTACCAAGGTATGTCACCTAAGATAAATTAATATTACCACCAAAATAAAGGGATTAAATGTATAAATAACAAATTTTGAAAGCATTAATAATTTCTGAGAAAAAAAGTATATACTACAACAAAAATGATTTGACGACTTCTTTTCAAAACATTATACAAACTTAATATTTGAAATAGAAAAAAATTACAATATAAATTTAATTTCATAAAAATAAATTAATTATTTCCTTGTTATCATTTTAAAGAGGAAAATAAGAGCTCACTGACTGCGTTTTGATCTTTAGAAAAATTACATTTTTTGTAAAATTATTTAAAATTTTTATACCATCCAAGAAAACTAAATTAGCAAAAATATGAGGATCCAAAACCTGTCTGATGTATATCGTTAAAATATTTTATTTCCACGAATACCTCAAACTAAAATTCAATGGCTGGAAAAAAATCAGCCTGAAATTAAAATTACACTAATTGAAGGTATATTATTATTACCTGTCCTGTATTGATTCAAATAATTCATATTCATATTTGGCATCATATTGTATGAAGTCATTGGCGGAGGAACGTGGTTTTTCTCATTTTCAAACTCCAACCAAGCAGCTTTTCTTTCTTCTTCATTCAACTCTTCTTGTTCCTGATTTTCTAGCAAAGAGTCGTGCTGGTGATATGTCGATATTACTTCAGGATGAGCTTGAAGTAGTTCAGCCATTAATCTGTCCTGTAAATTAAAAGATCAAGTGTAAAACTAAAAAAAAATATTTAAAAAAAGGCTTGAATAGATGAGTTTTAGGATTGCGTGTTTTGGTCTATTTATGGACTTCATCTATTTAAGGAAATAGATTTAACTTTTCAAAGTTCTCATGTTACAAACCTGACTTTGACAGTATTTCTGTAATTATGCCCTATGAACATATGAAATACATAGGATATCACAATAAGAAAATAAATCAATAAATATATGCCATTTATTAATATTTTAAGGACTTTAGATATGGAAATATGATTGTTTTCTTTATGATGGATAGGAGTTTTAAACACTATGTTTTCTACAAAAAACATCTAGACTTAACAAACGATAGATAGAAAAAAAATGTAACATAAAACCATTTTATTTTTGTATCATTAACTTTAAAAACTAGATTATGCAGGATTTTTATAATATATATTTTTACAACTTCGAAAATTGTTTTTATAGTGATAAATTAACATATGAAAAACAAACCTTTGGTAAAACAGGAGTTTCCCTAGTTTCTGGTGGATCGGGATTGAAAGCATACAGTTCAGCAAGTGATGTTTGCGAAAAATGCCGGTCAATCTGTTGCTCGTCAATTACCCTTAGTGATGTAGAGAGCTTAGCAACTTGACGTTCATAAATTTTTTCTTCCATCGTTCCCTATGAGTACACAAGTTTAAATAATAGATACTCATAAAATTAAAAGTAATATTTAATATCCATAATACATTAATATTGACTGTATTAAATATCCTTTATATTGTAATTTATCTCAGAAAAATAGATTTAATTGATCCACTTAAAGCTTCTAAAAGTTAATAAAACACACACAATGAAAATAATAATAATCAATCCTGATAATAGGTTGTTCTCGAATTAAACAAAGTTGTGGCTTAAAAGAATTAAAAATTTCAATAGGCATAAAAAAATTAGAGAAAAGTTTCTAATCCATTTTCAAACAGGAGAACCCTTACAACATATTATAAACACTTATAAATAATTAATATTATTAATTATAATTAATACAAAAAAATGTAATAATTGTATGTTGTTAATTTAAATAAAAAATGAATTTAAAACTTTTTCACAATTAATCTTATCCTGAAAACGAATAAGGGATTTGAAATTCGCTAGAGTTCATCACGATTCATACAATGCATGCGGCCTTAAAACAGATGAAGAGATGGTATTTCTTTTTTTTAAATTTGTATCCTCTGTTCAATATGATTTTCAGGCTAAATATTCGGTTGAGAGTTGATTTTCTACATCTGAATTCACATTGGTAGGGACCAATGACGATATCAGTATAGGGAATGAGACGTGTTAAAAGGACATTTGAGAGGACTTTGTATCCAGAAGTCTGTAAGGATATGCCTTTATAATTAGTAAATGCTAGATGATAAAACTTCTGCTGAATAGTAAAGATTATCGATTTTCTCCATGCTGAGTGTATTACTTCATCAACCCAGACTAATATAAATTTGTTTATATTACCAGTTGTCACTACCAGTTCGTTGCCTCCATATTGTAAGAAATTGGCAGAGTCCATCGCACCCTGCAGCCATGAGATTCTTCAGCCTATCCACTGCTTCCTCGATCTCCTTCTCATCAGGCGGTTATAATTCAGATTCCGTATCTCCCACACCAGGCAGGACTCTGTTAACGGCCTTAGGGTTGAAATTTAGCTCAATCAGTAGGTCTACAAAGTGCATTCTCTATTCTGCTAGGACTTCTGACTTATCAGTAAGAAGATTCCGTTCTTCATCCAGGCAAGAGGTCTGTGTACCAGTTAAAGGCTTTCTGAGCTTACTTATCATGCAGATTAACTCTCTTAATTCTTTGCTCCCGTGCAAGACTTCTATTTTCTGCAACTCTTCACTCTCTTTCTGCCTCTTCTACCTACAATGAAGTCTGATCTCTCGACGAAGCCTCTTTTACTCCTACAATGCGAGGTGCCCCTTCTGCGTCATAGCATGATGTGCCACATTCTTTTTCTTTTAAGTTGGTCCAATAATTGAATCAGCCGTTTCATCCAAGGCTTTGATGCAGGCCTGTCAATAATTGTCTACTGATCCTAATCCCTGGTGCATTAATTGTAATGCCTTGTCAAGCCTGACTGTACACTAATTTATTACAATTGAGTCTTGGAGCTTCTGCAGGTTGAACCTTTTAATGACACCAATAAATGTAATAAAATTTTAAAATTTATAAAAGAAATTATTCTGAAACAGAAATTAAATAAAAAATCATTACTTAATTGAAAATAATGTTCAAAAGGAGTTTATGAACATCCAGGAATTAATAGGAAATTTGAGTACAAAAAATATTGTTGTTATTTTATTCATATACACAAAATACCAGAGCCTCTTTTAAATTATTATTATATAAACCATCAACATGTCAATTTAATTATAGTAAAAATCTGAATAGTTATGAATTAGTTAGTTACCTTTGAAAGAAACCTATAAATGTAACAAGGCTTATCTTGGCCAAATCGGTAAACCCTGAAGATAGATTGCACATCAAAAGAAGGATTCCATGAAGCATCAAAGATTATAACTCTGTTTGCTCCAGTTAAGTTGATACCTAAACCTCCAGCCTTAGTTGAAATTAAGAAGAGACGACCTCTGTAAAAGAAGTAATACAAATTTAATATTTAATTTAAATTTAATATTTGTGGGGAAAGTAACCTAAACTAAACATTAACAATCTCTGGGCAGACATATTCCAAAATTCTAGAGTGATCTACGCATCACACAAATTGAACTTACCACCAATAGAAATAGATATTTTCATACATAGGAAAGCGGAAGTAGAATTTATTGATGATATAAAATATTATGTAAAAGAATTAATTATCATGTTTTCCAACTCAATTAATTTATTAAATTTATGCGCTTTTTATCACTATCCATTCCATTTTAATTATTTATATAAATATAATAAATAATTAAGCCATTATTTTTCCTTTAGTAAATTTACAAAATCTTTCATAATTTATATTTAACCATGTCTTACCTGGGTTACATGATATGGTAAATTATTTCAAATAAATAAAATCAAACATACTATGGAGGATGAAAGTATTAAAATTCAGTATTTAAATGTCTGACTATTTAAATAAGAAGATAATACTGCCTAATATAAACACCACTTAATTTTACATTGATATAATAAAATTAACTTAAAGAGTTGTTTTTAAAAAAATTAGAGAAATATGTAAAATTAATGATATTAAATGCCAATTCCAGTTAATCGATTTAAATGAAAAAGTTGCTACAACCTCCCCGACATACCTCCAGATCATAATTTCGGTTTCTTACAACTGTTCATTATTAACCTAAACTGTTCACAAACAGACATCATGCATCTAAGCAATTTCATAGAAACTGAGTATTATAAATTATAAGGATTCTGATAGAGAAAAGTATTCAGCCATTTCTCTTTGATGAAATCAATATCAACACTTTGGGCTCAAAGTTTGAAATAATATGCTGAATTATTAAGATTATATTTCAATTATTTACATATTATATGCGCTAATATTCAATTTATGTTACCAAATAAATTCATTTGTTAACACCTATGAAACTTATTAGTTATTTTTTGGAGTACAAATGACATCAATGATGGTAAACATTAAATTTTCTTACAAATTGTCTTAAAAATAAAAAAGTATACTAAATCAAAAATTTATAATTACCTCACATTAGTACGGGAGTTGAAAATTTTACACCAATTGCTTCGGCAGTCAGAACTTGTCCCACCATCTAACCTAAAATAATCGAGACCTTTATCCCAATTCGAACTGAATTCTGAAAGGTCCGGATTTTTATCAGCCTCATTTCTCCTATTATTTTCATCCACCTTATCGAGGAAGTATTCAATCAGATCTAAAGTGTATAAGGACTGAGAAAAGACAAGCCTACAAAAAAAAGTTAGATATTGTTTAATATTATAATAATCATGTATAAATTATTTTGTAAGTACTACATAAATAAATTTCACCTAAGTAATATAAAAATCGACATAATAAAAATTAGAAGAAAAAATAACATTTAATAGCTAGTTTATCTTAAGATAATATTTTGTGGTCAAGCCAAAAATTGTTTAAAGGAGAATAATAATTGTCAATTCATCAATTCATAAGTTATACATTAATTTGGGACTACTTAGGGCTAACATAATGTTATTACATATTAACACTATGTTCTGATGAAACACAATTGTTAGACCTAAGCAGACCCAAATTATGTATATAATATAATATGTATATGTATATATATATATGTATATGTATATATATATAATAATATACATATATATATATATATATATATATATATATGTATATGTATATATATATACATACACACATACAGAAATGTAGCTAATCTAAGTTTTGTTTTTTAAAGTGAGTCATGTTTTTTTGTAAACTAAATTAAAACAGAATTTATATTTGTTAAAAACATTTAAATATGACTTTTGATCGGCTAAAAAAGCTAAGTTCTGGTATTAGAAAAATCATAAATTAATAAATCATTTTTTGTTATCATCTGTACTACAGATAACCCACTTTAACAAAAACTTCTCCGTTTGATAAGCTTTGAATCCATATTAATTAAGTTAAGGCTTAAATAGGGAAAAATTTGTGATTGAGCTCAAGTTGTGTAACAAAATGATTATATTTTTCATTCTGTCAAGTAAAAGTAACCCAGTTTTCATAAAAAAATGACTATAATGAACAGTTGTAAAGTTTTTATATCTGGTTTTTCCATGAACTGGGATAGACCAATTGCACGTGCCAATTACAAATTTGTTGAACTTTGAAAATCAACACTATGCTTAATACTTAAGAATAAATTTCGTGGCTTTCATTTAAGGTTTGGCTATTTAAAAGACCATAGTCATAATTATTGATTAATCTTCAGTATTTTAACTGTTTAATAATAAGTTTTACACTAAACCTTTCAATCATGTTAAAAGAATTTTTTTTTAAAATTAATAAATAAATTTTTAAGAGGTGAGTAATTAGTTGACTGTTGAAAATATAAGGATGAAAAAATTGTCTGGATTTGCAGCCAAACATTTCTTTAATGAGATAGCTGATGTTTTGACCCAAACATGTGGTTCATCAGGACTAAAAATTAAAAAATACAAAACATCAGAAAATTAAAAATATAAAAGTAATAAAACTGAATAATAAAATCACCAAGATAATAGTAATAAGAGTAAAGAATGAAATCAGAAAAATGATAAACATAAAAGTGTAAGAGAAGAAAAAATTAAATGAATAGAAAATGTTTTTGTGTTACAAATAAACGATATTACTTCCAAACCATAGGTAACTGTTAAGAAACTATTTATTTTCATTAAAATCTCTTTCTATACTTTTTTTGTCATATTTGTTTTGTTTTTTAAGTTTTTTTTCCATACTTCTTATTTATTGAATGGTATGTGGTTTTATTTACACTAATTATTTGGTTTATTAGTTCTTACTTTTGATATAAGTATATTGTTATGTTTATATAATCATTACCTCATTTGTAAGTTTCACCATTTTCTTGTCTTATACTTTTGTATTTATTATTTTTCTGATTTTATTCTCTACTCTTATTACTATTATCTTATATATTTGCTCTTACTACTAGTATCTTGTTACTGTTACTCATCAATCCTATTAATCTTACACTTTTACATATATCATTTTTCTGATGTTATTTTTTAATTTTTAGCCTTGATGATGACCCACATGTTTGGGTCATTAAAGAAATTTTTGACGGCAATTCCTGACAATTTTTTTCTTATCCTAATAAATAAATGAATTGCTCAATTTTTAACATATTCTATAATTTGAAGTCAAATGGCATCATAGAAGAAATAATTGAATTGTATAAATGTGTAAAATATGAAACTCAAGAAATAAACAAGCAGAAACCAATATATTTTATCCTTACAACTTGTCTCCAATTTCTTCGCAATGTTTTAGAATGGTGAAAAACAAGTATAGTTTTGAACTACACTTGATGGCTTCAAGTTCTTCTTCGGACACAATATTCGCCCACCATTCAGTACGTTTGACGGGCAATTCTTCTACCTCTTCTTCACTGACTTCACCAGCAGCTAAATTAATACGAACAATTGTAAATATAAATATATAAAATTAAATTTGCAATAACATTAACAAGTATATTTAAAAAAATCGAATTTTCTTCCCTCTCTGGTTTTAACCCAGATAATGGAGGTTCTATAGTAAATATAAAATGAGATAAGATATAAGTTACTACATTACCTCTCTGAGCTCTTGTAACTCGTTTTCTTGGAGTTTTTTTGGTACTATCATGAGAACTGGAACTAGATTTGGAAGAAGACGACTCATGGCTACTACTATTCTCATCCGAATCATCATCGATGAAATCTCTAATCGATCCTTCAGAATCTTCCTAAAAATGAAAATTGAAAGTAAATAAATGATATATAGTCAACAAATATGGGAGCTAATTTTCATATAGTTAAGAGATATTCCAATAAAATAAATTATAATATTGTACTATATTTATGTCAAAGTTAATTTAGATATCAACAAATAACTCAAAATAGCTTCAAAATCAATTATTGAACATTAATCAATTAAAGCTGAACTTCTCTTATAGATTTGAACTCTTAAACATAGTTAAGTTGAGAAAAGATTATTCTATGAATAATTAATTATTATTATACTAATAATAATTATTCTTTGAATAGTCATTATCATTAAGACGAACTCTGGCACATAAAATTGCCATGTTTTTTACTTCCTCTCTTTTCTCCTGTGACATGGTTTAATTTTAGACTTTAGATACCAAGAATAATATGCATTATGTAACTGAGTTGATACTGGACATGGAGTTGATACTGAGAATATGTAATATACTAGCCTATCAATTAACAACCACATAATAAAAAAACACTGAATACAACCGATTTTGGGTTCTTTCAGAATTTTTTTTTTCTAATTTCTTAGCAGAGGATAACTCAATATGATTGTTACTATTATAACAGCATGAACTGTACAGTAAGTCAACAAAAATATATAATGGGCAATAATCAACTTAATAACTGAGTTATTCAGGACAAATGCACAGCTGTCAGAAAAATTACAAACGAAATTATAAGAGCAGTAAAACAAGAATTTCTCAAAGAAAGACGGCAGACCATTGAGGATAACTAGAGAACTGGAAATATATGTAGATGCACACCAGCATCAACAAAGAAAAGTTAGAATATAAAATGAGAAATGCACAAATTGAAAGAAAATATGGCTAACTGGAGGGATAAAAAGAAATAATATTAAATATCCGAAGAAGTAACATTTACAGCAGTAACTCATAAACAAAGAAGACATGGACCACCTCGAGGACCTCAAATCCTCATTTTAGTATGGAAATAGCAATCAACCTGCTTAAAAGAAGAAGGCCTCAGTGATGAACGATCTACCATCACTTGGGAGAAAACTTGAGAGCCAAGCTATCCCGACAATGGGAGGAAGAAAGGAAACATGCTGAGAACATGGGCTTTCCGCCCTATCCTAAAGAAGGGCTCCATGAAACATTTTGATATTTACGCAAGAAAAGCAACCTTTCAGTAGCCTTTAAGATAATTACAAATATTCGGCTAAACCTGATAAATCCAAATTAAAAAAAATACAATAGGCGATCACAATCACAATTCATAAGTCTTTATAAAAACAGTGCTCAAAAAGCAATAGGAAGTAACTCCGGATGTTCACACCTTTTCTGTCAATTTCATTGCAGCCTAGAATTTCACTGAGAAACTTGTCTTTGGAAAATAATAATTAACTGAATAATATTTGAATAGTTGACAAGAAGCCTCTAAAGTTCGAAAGGACTCGAAACAGAATCGTTGACTTCTGTTATTTCTAGCTCAATAAAGTAGATTTAATGTACTAATACTAGATTGAATTAAGTACTTTCTACTTTGCAAAACTTTTTCATTTATATTTCAACTTTGATTATGAAGAAATTATAAGAGAACAATAAAAAAGGTCACTTATTAAATCTGCAAAACTTGGAGCCTCTTGTTGAAGCACATGTATCTCAAAATATTATACCTGATTGAAAAGTTCACTTAAATTATTAAAGTTATTTTGTAAATTAAATTTATTTATTTACTAAGCTTAACTTGAATGGAAATTATCATAATTACTTCAAATTTCAGATACTAGTAATAAACAAACCTTAACAGTTTTTATCAAAACAGTTTAATTAGTACCAAAATAAATATTCAATTAACAAATAAGAGAACGTTCAATATCTACCTCCTCCTTATCAATCTTCAGCATCTCCTTGTCCGAATGAATTAACAATGCTCTAGGATGAGTGCATATCCTCATTAGATGTTGGAAATCAGTGAACAAACCACCTCCTTCATTCTTCTGAGTGCGAGCGAAATTTTCCAAGTAATGTCTATAAGAATAACATGTGTATGATATCGACTATTTTATTGCAAAGTAAACAAACTTACAATTGTTTTCATTAATATAACAGATAAAACTAATCATACATTGGCAACCTAAAACAGGTTCCCAGCAGTTGTCAATGAATTTCAATGTTTCTAAAGCATTTAAAATATAACTGTTTCTTAACTAGAGCCTTCCTATCCCACTACTTCAAATAATTTCAACATGACTGGAGATGCTCAGCGATTATTTTCCTTAACATAAACAATTGTTATCGATAGGATTTGCAGATATGAAATACAAAAATACTGAAGTATGTCTTTGTAAAAAAAAAATATATCAAAAATTATTTTATTTACATATATATACAACAAAAGTCAACTGCTTTTTATAAAATCAATTTATTTTTTGAAGATAACTGGAAATAACTACTGAAATACGAGGATATTTTACTAATAATGGTTTTTGCTGTATTTTATTAGTTTTTCTATATGATGGATGAAATTTAGGAACTTATCAAGTTCAAGGTCTAAATATTTAACTGAATTGGACCATGGGATCTGTTTGTCTTTTATGAGATGTTATGAGTTATACTTGTTCTTCTTTTTGCGAAAATTATTACTCTCGTTTTTTGTTCGTTTAATTTTATTTTCCATTTTCCGAAGTATTTGACGAGTCTTATAAGGTGGAATTGTAGTGTGTTTACTAATGAGTGTTTTACTGAAGGGAAGAATGGGATATCTGAAATATACAAATTAAGTAGGATAGGACAAAGACATGAGCCTTGAGGGAGACCTGCAGATAGGCAATGGACATTATTTGCAGTAATGCGAAAGGACCTATTATTTAGATATGAGTGCAGGAGGTGGATTATGCAGGGTGGGAATTTATATAAAATGAGTTTATGGATAATGCCGGTGTGCCTGACTGTGTCAAATGCATTTTTTATGTCCAGGAGGAGCATACCAGTGTATGCCCTTGTAAGTTTCTAACCAGGAAAGGCTTAAGGGCAGAAATAGTAAAATAACAAAAATATAAAAAAAGTTTTAAACAAATAAGAACAATTCCAGAACTAAAATTTTTAACATGAACTAATATACATAATAAAAAAAAAAAATGAAAAATAACGTGTTACACTTACTGGTAAAGCTTGACTTGTGTTTCAGTCAACTTCACATGTATTACATATTCATATTTAGGTGGTAGGTATGGTGTGAGAACATTGTAGTCCTTCCTCTGAAAAACAATAGCCTCATTCAGGAAAGTAAAACAAATCTAGCATAGTATTTGATGTAAACAATATATATTCTTTTTATTGGTCTATGGTATAAAAAGAGCTACTTTTAACAGAAAACAAGTTCTTTTCAAACTGAAACCATTATTGATCTCTTCAACATATTACAGTCAAATCGTATAATTTTTGTTTTATTTAACAAAATAGAAAAGTATTAGAATCTTACTTGAACAATCCCATCCAACATTTTATGTAGAACGTGAGCTCTTCTCTTCATTAACTTAACATCATGGGTAGTAGAGTCTTCAAACTGGCCGTTGGTAATAGGATGAACGAATCTGTTTTGAAACTCTTTTCTTGTCCCAAGCAAATTAGGTTTAACAAACTGAACCATACAGTGATCTGTAAATTACATCGTTTAACTATAACAGTGATAAATTTAAAAAAGTAAATAAATAAAAGCATAAATTAAAAAAAAAATAACATTATACTCATAGATATGAAAGTACAACATAATTATAAGAGGAACATACCTTAAACAAATTGAGTACAAATTTTAAAAATGATCTAAAAAAATTCACTTCCTTCTGCTTATATCATTTACCTAACTTGCTGATATATAGAATACAAACATAAAGAGACAAGAAAATGGTTGTTCTAGAGGTACAACCAATCCTATTTTAACTAGAGTGGGAAGGCCGGGATTCATTCCATGGGTCCGCCATAAAATAAATTTCAATCTGTGGAGGTCTTATTCGGACCGGTGTCGCTAGATTAGAAAATGTTCTGGCAGACAATATTGCCATCAGGAGAGAGAGTGCAGTTTAGTAGATATGGCACAGAGAATAGAATGATGATCGATTCTACAAGTCAAAACATCTTGCTGTTTAAGAAAAACAATTTTAAGCAAATACTTCATCTCCGCAATGTAAACACTTTTGCCTTCAAGAAGCAGATACTGGTAAAACTGTTTCTGGAGGTCATCCATGGACAAAGAACTGGATTGACTGTGAGGATATAGACGTAAAGGACCTTGGAGTCAGCAACTGAAAGGCAACAGCACTACGACTCCAGGTAGTTGCTTACTGAGGAGGTCTAGACATTAGGTTTCTCCTGCGATGATTCATTTATTAAAAACCAATCGACTGTAAACTTTCTAAGCTATCAACAGGTACATATTTATATTCTCAGGAATTAATCTTGCCCTAAACTGCATTCAAAATGAGTATGTAATAAAATATCTATTTGCACAATGGGCAAAATATATAAAAGTTAATTTTGACTATTTGAATTTAAATGTATACTACTTAATGTGGCAATTTTCCTGCAAAACTGATGTTTTAGCTAATATACAAATGTATATTAAATTGAACCATAATATTTAAAAAGAAATATTCAAAAAAATTAAAATAAACATCACTTACATTCAACTAAATTATTCTGTAATGGTGTACCAGTAAGAACTATTCTCCTCCTTGTAGCAAGTTTGTTCATCACCACTGAAATAGCGGTTTTTTCATTCTTTAAAATGTGTCCTTCATCACAGACAACAACATCTGGACCTATTAAAGATGGATGATTAAATTAATATATCAGGAAATTCATTAATGATCAAGTAAATTAATTGATAAAATGCAGTAACACCTATTGGAACAGTCCACTTTTTTTGTGTACATTCCCACAATCCATGTGGTTTTATTTCTTAACCTACTTTCGAATATATCGGACACCTAAAGAAAATCTTAAGATTGTAAACAAATTAACTAGATCAGCTAAATAAATATATTAAAGGTTGATATTCCTTACTTAAAACTTGGAAAATTTCTCCTTTCTTCTCTTTAAATATTTATTCATAAAAACCCAAATCATATAAATAAGGATTTTATACAGCCTCCAGCTGATGCTAACTATTACTATCCTATAAATCTTTTAGTGCCAAACGACCACACATCGTTTCTTATATCTACGAAGAGAACACCAACAATGATGAATCATTGTGCATGCAATGTTTCTTATTGATATACTTCCAATTTTTACTGCAAGTATTAATAAAATGATGAGTTTGTTGTAACCTCCTTTGATGCTGAGTCTCTTTATCAAAGTTAACAAGTGGATAACAAACCACGATACTATGTCACAATATTATTAACATGCAAGCACTGGTGTCACAAGGTGGATACTCACCCAGAAAATCATAACAATGATATTTACAAAGTTATTGCAATGCCAATGTTATTGACCTCTCTACCCACTCCCGAATCATCCAATTGTTTTATGTTCACAGTAATCGCAGGTTCATGCCATTCAATCCCATCATCTGATCATTTAGGTTAAGTAATAAAGCAAACCAAGTCACAAAGCTATCTTTAATATAAACCAGAGATCTCCTGGAACTACCTTCAGTCCGGTCCACGAAGGTTTTTTTGATTACACGGTAAAATTTAAAAAAATATTTAATAATGTGAAATTTAGAAAATTACTCACACACGAGATTACTCCAACATTTATTATATGATTTTTTTTCTCTTAGAAAGCTCATCTGTATCATCTCGCAAGTGCAATTTATAGAACAATTTTTTTTTTTTTTTTTCATCACAAGCCATAGCCTATGGGGCTTGGTTGGAAGTCTCAATGCGGCCCGTGGAACTTAATTGTCAATTGCTCCAAAAGACCTCTAAGTGGCCAGTAGGGCAAAAAGTTCGGGGACCCCCTGTTGTAGACAAAAACTGGTCAACCAATGAATCTCACACCTATCTCAAGGTATTTGTAAATTAAATTCCAGGATTTTTTAATTTAAAAACAACCCAATAAAGCTTTTAAAGGCTATAAAATCGACATATCAAGAGCAGAAAGGTATTGTATGCCAGAGTCAGGAATATTCAGTCTCGAAAAAGGACTAAAAAAAGGCAATTCACAGCAAAAATGCACATGGGCCAATGGAACTTGCTTCCTACAGTTGTACAGTTTCTCTTATTTGCAGATGACATCGATATAATTGCAGATTCCCCTGAGCGACTTTAGCAGGCAGTAGCAGAGTCAAATGAAGAATTGAAAAGGAAGGGGATGACCATCAATTCCCAAAAAAGCAAAATTCTTCAAGGCGGCAGAACTCAAAAGGATATCAGGATTTTCTGTAATGAAGAGGTGATGGAGGTGGTGACAGACTTTATCTATCTGGGTACGGTAATCACTAGGTCGGGAAAAGTAGATTCGGAAGTCTCAAGCAGGATATCAAAAGCAAATTCCGTCCACTATACAATATGCAATACCGTAATCGGAAAAAAGAAAGTGGGGCAGGATGTGAAGCTCCATCTTTTCAAGTCTGTCTTTCTACCGGTACTTCATTATGGAGCAGAGGGTTGGATCCCGAATGAGAGGGTTCAAACCTGCATTACTGCCACTGAGATGAAGTTTCTTAGAAGAATTGTGGGGAAAACGAAAAGAGACTGTGTCCGAAATGACAGGATCAGGGAGGAGCTAAAGATATGCACCGTGCTGGAAACTCTGGAGAGGAGACAGCTGAAGTGGTAAGGGCATGTCTGCCAGATGGACCACCACAGAGAACCAGTTAAAACCCTAGAGGTGAGGCCGATTGGGAGAAGACCGAGAGGGTGACCAAGAACCTTATACATTAGTCATTTGGAATGAATTGGAAGACGAAGAGGGTAGACCCTGGAAGAGATGAAGAACCTTGCCGGAAACAGAGATGCATGGAACCGATGGCTGGAAGCACCCCCACGCTGAGGAAAAAGGGTGAAAGAAAATTTGTTAATGATAACATTCAGCCCCTGATCCTTCGTTACCAACTTAATGACTTGGTATCTTCGTGATTCCTAGATACCCATATTCTCCAATGACATAACATTCATTTGGAAACATGTGTATGATTCTAATACCAGTGGAATTATTTGATTTTTCTTATAATTATATATACAAAATTAATGCATATTATTTAAAATTACGTTCATCAACACCAAGTTACCTGGATCCAAAAGAGTTTCCTGAACAGTTTTTTTTATTGATGCCTTTTGCCTTCCTTTTGGAGCTGCAAGTGACCTAAACAGATTGTAACCTAGCACCATCACACCTCCTGTCCTTTCCCAATCACGCAATTGGTAAGATCGATGATTTGGAGCTGTCCTGGTTGAATAGTAAATAAAATATTGAATAAAAAACAATCCTGACCACCTTATACTCTAAGCCTAATTAATTAATTTCTTACTTGATCATATTATAAATCTCAATATCTTCACCACTCCCTACATCTTTTAACCACTTATGAAATTCATTAACCCAATTCTGGACTGTTGAAAAAGGACAGACAACAAGCACCTTATTTACATCAACTTCTTTACAGGTTAGGAGAGTATGCACCAGGGAAATCACCTAATAAACATTTTAAATAATGTAATACTAAAATGCTATCATAGAACTAATAAAAATAATACTTTAATTATCAAAATTAAAAACAAACCTGGAGGGTTTTTCCAAGTCCCATACAATGTGCAAGAATGCATCCTGACCCTTTATTTTTTTTGGATTCTTTTACAGATTCAAAACAAGAATCCCACATGAATTTTATACCTTGGGCCTAAAATATATATAAAATTAGGAAATATAAGCAAGAACATCAATATCAGTAGGCTTCGTTAATGCAAAAAAAAAAATATATATATCTAACAGTTTAGTTCAGATATGCAGGTCTCAGGTATTCTAATAAAATTATTTCTACCAATAAAAACAAATAAATCAACAAAAAAATTGCACAGCTTATCCATTTTCCAAATAATAATAAAGTATAGCCCTGCTAAATTCAGCCATGATTGTCCAGATAATTTTTTTATCTGAAGTGTATTAACAATTTTAAAAAGTATTAAAATTTTGAACATTTATTGATTATTTACATTTAATTTAGTGAGCTGTAAGAAAAAAAAAAATTAAACACTTTTATTTGGTACTCCTATCGTTATTATTTGTACATTAGTCTGTAATGACAGTTTTATGTTGTTACGTACTGTTTAGTAGTAGTGTTGTAGTTTGAAAATAGCATAAGAGCAGAAAAAAATTACTGATAATGGAACAAAAACTCAAAGCTTTATATTTTAAAAATTATTAAAGAAAGTTAATGGGCTGTTCTACATATCATAGGTGATAATCAATAGTCAGTACACAGTCATTTTTAAGGTTTTTATTGGTGCCGACGTTTAATCATCAGCATATGTATTATAATAATACTGTGTTCAAGTACTCTGAGTACTTCAACATCTTCAGTGCTCGAGACACACCCTGATGATGACCCTCATACTTGGGTTGAAATGTCAACATCAATAAAAACCTTAAATATGACTGCTTCCTGACTATTTATCATCTACTTTATATTTTACTAATGCAGGGAAATCACTAATTAAAATCGCAAATGCTTTAGAAGCGGGAATTCAAATTGTTTGACTAAGGAAAAAAATTTAAAAGTAATTATACAGTTTGGGGGGAAATGTAGTCGCGCATGTTTGTGTGTGGGCGCACGTGTTTTGCCAATAAACATAAATATGGAAAATTTAAGTCTTTAAGGTTCTAATATGAAATATTTAAGTGAAAAACATACCTGATGTGGTTTAAGCTTTCTGACTAGATCATAATCAACACTGACAAGTGGCTTTTTAGTTTCTACATCAAAATCAAGGACTAGTTCTTGCAATACTTCTATATGCTCACTAGCTTTCTTAATTAACTCATTATACTGCAACACAAAAACAAACATTAACATTAATTTAATTAATATAATATAATTGGCTAAATCAAAATTTCGGGAAAAAGTTGAGAAAGGCAAAGATGGACAGGAACTAGAAAATTAATTTTATTAAGGAGAGTAGGAGAATTGATATTTCCATTAATTAATTTAAAGAGGAAAATAACATATTTTTTGATGCGCTTATGTGCAAGAGAATTAATATTTATATTCATATTTCAAAAATGTTTATAATATCGACTATCAATAACTCAAGTCCGATAATTTGATGGTATCGATAGTTATGCTCTCCTTCTAATCATCGTCGCCAAAAGGTTAAATGCATTCTTTAAAATATATATTATGAATACTCTTTTTAATGAAAAGTTGTTAATTTTATTATTACTAAACCAAAACGGGACCATGGAGATGGTGCAGGTATAATTGGGTAGAGGCTGGTTCATTAGTTATAGCTATCGGCAGTTACAAACAAAAAAACAGGTTGTTATTTAATGTAATAGTATGATAAATAAACTTTACCAACTCCTGCTTCTCTTGTATTCGTTTCTTCCTTTCTTCTTCTTCCTTTAAGGCTTCTTTAGTGGTTTTTTCTAAGCTTTCCTCCTTTAAGACTTTCCTGATATTTTTCCGACCTTTTCCATCAGCTGACTAGAATAAAACAAAAGTTGAATAAAAAAAAAAAAAACTTTTAAGCCAATAAACAAATAATGAACTTGTTATTTTTTTTTACTTTACTAGGCGTAGGCTCCCCATCACTATTTTCACTTGAATCAGAATGTCTCTGTATACGTTTCCTTTTCTTTCTGAACAGTAAAAAAATAAAGTCATATACACACATATAGCTCATTTCAAGAATAATTTAACAAAAGATCCCAAAGATGATAGATAATGTTTTAAAGTTTTCAGCTGGCACTTCATAAATATTACAAATAATGTTAAGAGTTCCTTAATATTTTTTCTATTTAGAAAATGAGCAATATTTCCAAAATTAAAAATTAATCAACTTAAACTGAAATGATTAAACATTACTTACTTATCCGTAGGTTTCAATTCTGATTCCGGTTCTTCGTCACTATCTTCATCTTCATTTGGAGAATCAGAATCGCTCAACTTTTCATCAGAATCACTAAACAAACTTTTCCTGGGCTTCTTGTTTTTCTTCTTAGGAGTTCTTGAAAAAGAAAACAAGTTCAAGTTTCAGTTTCTCCCACTTTTTTTTGGAACTTAAATTTAAGTTTATAAACAAAATTGTTCTGATGTTCACAAAAAAATGTTTCTTTCTTTTACTTTCATTTACCTATATATGAACTATATAGTAAAGTAAAGTATTGCAATCCTGAAAATTATTGAATCTCAGTTTTCAACAGAAATACCCATTTGAGGTCCCCTGAGTCCAAATATGCAAGTCCTGCAAAATGGTCTGTGTGTATGTGTGTGTATTAACAGTCTAGCTCAAAAACGAAAAGTAGTACAAAAGTGAAATTACATATTTTAAGTTTTTAAATTCCTGGGATTTTACAGCTACTTTTTCATCAAAATCGGCTGACCGGAAGTGGCACTTTATATCATTAATGTAACACATTTTTATGATTTTCTCAAAAACGGCTCTAACGATTTTGATCAAATTCATTTTATTAGTGTAAAATTAAGCAGTTTTTAATATTATGTGGGTTTTATTGTCATTGATGTTCTCTAACAGGGCTTATATGGCTTATTTTCAATATTAGCTTCCTAAAGTACCTTTATTTTTTTCTTATTTGAAATAGTTAATCATATCACATTGATCTCTGATATAAAAAATATTTAAATATAAAATAAGAAAGAATTTGATAATTAACTAAAGAAGAAATAACATATCGTAATAGTTAGTTGTAGTGAAGAAACCAAAGGAATAAAAGCGTGCCCTAGCTCACCCGAAGATAAGAACAGTCTTCCATACGTAACATGAGGTTAATATAATACGGACTCTGACAACATAATATACATATACATATGCGATTTCCATAAATGTTTTCGTCGGTATTCTTTATTAATATTTAATTGTATAGATTACAGCGATAAAAATATTAAAATTTGTAAATATAAGAGTATTTAAACAAACAAAAATACCCACAATAACATTTATAATTTTTATCTTCACTCCCCCTTTGTCTGAAAATACTTATTTCTGCTAAGGAGAGTCAAAAGTGAAAGTTGTGTGATGCACACACTACACCGGATTTTTACCCTTAACACCAAAACAATGCATTTAATTATTCACACTATTACATACAAAGTTTTATGTAACAGTAGACAAAATTTTCCATAAATCTTTTTAGTATTTTTTTTTTTTTTTTAATGGAGAATCGGCGATGAGGAACTAGGAAATAAATCACTGTGAACTATGTGTCAATTAAAAAATATTGAAATATTAAATAATTCTACATTACTTGTGTAATTCTAATTCCAACTTCTGTGAAAATTGTGACATTATTATAAAAAGTGTTATAACGTTTTGTGTTACATTTTTCATAATTTGTACTAAAACAGTTACTTCAAAAAAAGTTTTTAACTCGCATTTTGTAAAATTATGAGGTTTATGGAAATATCACTCTTACTCATCGCAACAAATTATGAATATTATTCATTACAGCAAACTCGCACTCATGTTGTCCCTTTTCTAGTGAAATTCTCTGATTTAAAAGAGTTTTTATAAAATATATTACAAAATCAAAGATTACAAAATCGAGTAAAATAGAAGATTTGTATAAAGGATAAGCAGAAATATTTTTTTAAAACATTTTAATTTCATGAATCTTTTTATTTTATGAGCAGCTCTACGAACACCCGTGTCAATGCCAGGAGATTCTCTAACCTCCTCCATGTTTAACTAATAGTTTAAACATAACATTTGTATATATTAGTGAAAACACAATTGTATCTGAACAAATATGAAAAAATACTTGCACAAAAGACCAGGAGCACTTAAAAAAAAAAAATAATTGCCAGAAGTTTGTTTGTTAAGAAAACGTGCTTCTTTCTCCAAAATAATTTTGGTTTATTATCAACCGATATCATTTTGAATTCATTCAATATGTGTTAGAAAACTATATGAGAAAATAAATTTTTCAACATCATAAATTACTCAATCCTGTTGAAATAAGGATAAAATACTACATTAATGGCCAAACTAAAGTCTATTGATTTCGATTGACATTTGAATCAATATTATGACTAACTGATTAAATCTCAATAATTCAAAATGAATGCTGGAGGAGGGTGTTTGGATTAGAGATTGTTCGGGGAAACTACAGATTATAAAACATTTTAACTCAATAAATACAAACTTTATTAACTGGGCATATAGGTTAGTGTATATTCATTTGAAAATATCAAATTCAGAAGCATACCTTTTAAAAATATTAATTTTGGTAAATAGAATTTGTTACCATGGCATATAATTTGCTGTTTCGCCATCTATTTAGTTTATCTATTTATATAAAAGAAAATGAGGGTTTTCCAGAAAATAATCACGAACCACGAAAAATTAAACTAAACTGTCTAAAGTCTTCATTAAGAATTTATATTTGGCTGCTTCTCTTTTTTTCTTTAGAAATGGTATTATCATCTGACAGTTGTAAACATCGGTGTATGACCACTTTTTTAATTTAAAATATAGTGTTTTTGTGATTTTCTAACAAAAAAAATTATAAACATAAATCAATAATGTTGAAAAAAACAAGCAACAGACATAACCCTAACCTCTACCAAGAGATAGAATATTACTTGCATTTAATACAACAATTTATCAGAATTTTGGGCTCAAATTGTTTGAAAACACTCACAGGCTCTCATTGAATAATTTAAGTTATAAAACTTGAAAAACGATTATATATAATCGGTAGATAAGCTTAATAAAGAAGCCGTTTACTCAAAAAAATAACAAGATACTTAACAAAGGTTAATCTAAACACATTACTCTCTTTGAAACTTCATCATAACCAGGTAAAAAGTCATAGATGAATACAAATATTTATTAAAAGAAAAAGAAAATTAACTTAAATTAATTAAGCCAATGAATAGTATTTTGACCAACTCGATTTCAGAAGTTATATACAAGAAGAGATTTATTCAGTCAGTTATGTTTCTTTTGAGTAGTATTACATTTTGTCTATTTAAATAGTCTTACTTTTTGAGATCCTGTTGCAACTCAGTAATTAAAATTATTTTATATAAAAGGATGTATACCAACATCTATTTATGTAACTCATTGAATTTTCTGGATCATTTTTGTAAAAATTTTAGGTTATTGAACTAGTTATAATTGGTCAATTTTGTCACATAAATAACAGATAATTTGATTATTCTTCCAACTTCTAAAATATTAGAACAATGAACAATATAGAAAATTACTTTATATGTTAGTTCACAATTAGCTATTGACAGACAACAATTTTATTTATTTCTATCACGAAAAACTTAATTATGGTTTATTTTTAGTGGATCCTTATTTAATTTTTAAATTTAACAAAAAATAGACCAAGGTTAAAAGACGAAAATATTCCCACATCACTTATTAGAACATTTTAATTTTTTTTTAATTAATTGTTGAAGATTTAGCCTTATTGGCCATTTTCAAACATTTCAGAACATCATATAATATACAACTCGGTAACAATGCATGATTAAGATAAAAACTAAATTAAAGTTGTTTTTTTTTATACAAAATTTAGTTATTTCGATTTCCTTAGCCAGTTATTATTTTGTTTAAAAAATACATCTTAGAAAAAAACACATTAATAGATGACCAAAAAATAATTAAAAATATGTTTCTTAAACAATTAAAATTCAATAGTTTTAGGAGCAGTAACAAATTTCTATATGTAGAAGGGGTATTAGAGTAAACCGATATGCTTCTAAATGTTGATATAATTTTAGATTTTTATTTGGTTGAAAAGGTTAATATTTGCTGTGCCCAATGGTAAGCGTCCAAGGGGTAGACCGAAGCGAAGGTGGGAAGATTGCATTAAAGCCGATCTGAAGGGACTGGGTTTGGACAGCGAACAGTGGAGGGAGGTGTGTAATAAGCGATTGGTGGTGTCAGCATCGAAACTTCGGGTTCGCTAAGCCTTTTATTATTTATTTATTTATTATTTTGTTTGACTTAATTTTCCATAAGTAAAATGAAATATGAATAATTACAACAATTTTCTGACAGATGGTCCAGATGAATTTATAGATCCAATTTCTTCTAATTGTGATAAAACTACATAAATATTACTAGTGGGAACAACACATCTTTGTTTTTTTCAAGTGGAGCATCTATCTCTATTGGTAGTCATAGACCGTTTTCTTCCAGTTACAAGCTCCCAGTAATTGTTATCGTCATTATTAGCAATATAAAAGTGCATTTGATTTACTGACAGCTCTGGAGCTGATTGCTCGATCATAGTCGGTGTCGAGATCACTTGCTTAATTAGTCTAAATATTCACTTTTTATGACTAAATAATACTTGTAAACAGATAAATAATAAATGTTTTAAACTGACCAAATACCAAAAGTATTTTTATCAGCATCAAACATATTGTTTTGTTTTTTGGGCAGTTTTTACTAATAGGTTTTTATTCTTGTTTTATTATTGACAAATGTTAATAGATTTTTTTTTTTTGATGTGGCATACATAAATATTTAATTGTTACTATTAAAGTTATCATAAATTTAAGACTTCAATGTTAACCTAATTCCTCTTATTTTAAAGATTAAGGCAAAAGATATCAAGTTATTTATGTCTATATCAAATCGCTATTTTAATATATTTGAAAACAATAGATATCACCTATAATTTGTCTTAAATCTTAACTTTTTTAAAATGGAAAGAGTTAGGATTGTATCCACAAAAAAAAAAGTTGTTCAAGGAGGTCTGCAGCCAACACAAGTTTGAGTACCCCTGATAATCGACAGTGTTGACTTTTATTGGTATTATATATGTATATAGATAAAACTAGTAAAATAACATTTTGAATGGCAATTTTATGTAACTTTAACTTCCTGATAAGTACAACGAACTGCATGACAGATTTTGAATTAGACATTGTTGATTTGATAGTAGTTGTGTATGCATGTAAATATAACTATTAAAACAAGTCTTAGTGACAAAATTGGGGAACTTAACATGAAATTGGTAGACATGATGACATTTAAATTACAATTTAATGACAAGATTGACAAAATGTAAAAAAAAAAATTATCTAAATCTAATAATTATAGTATGGCTGATTCACATATAATTGCTTATATGAGCAATGAATAAATAGAAATTATGATTCTATATTATGGTATTTCACTATATATTCTTCACATTGTAATGTATTACTTTATTATAGCATGTGTTAGTGTATAATCATAGACAAATATCTCATTTCATTCATGTTTTATTTCCTTTTTAGTTATATTTAGTAGTTTTTTGTTTAAACATGTTTTCTTAATAAATTTTAATTCAAATAAAATTGAATAATATTTTAGAATATGATAACCACTGTTAAAAGAATGGGTAAAAAACTATGTTATAAATTTTGACAAATTATCAAAATGGATGGTGAGCGTTAATTGTAAAACCATTTGTTGACAAATTTTTTTTAAAATAATTAAAAGTTTACCTCAGGATGCTTTCAGGAACTGAAGCTGTTACAAAGTATGGTTATGATTAACATTGTTAATTTATATTTTTATGTGTTGTTTTTACATATTTGTCAATTTATATTTATATATATGTGTGTTGTTTTTGGATACTTTTTATTTATTAAATTGTTTTATTTATACTGATTATATGATTTAATTGTTATTCCTTTTTTTTCCTTTGTATTCACCTTTACCCTTGAGATTCATCAGTGATAAGTTTTAATATTCTATTGTAATACTTGGTTTCGATTAAGTACGGAGAAAGAGTGACAAGATCCTCTTCTTTGTCTCGCAATATATCTTTTAATGTTGTGGATAACTTCAAGACCTCTAAGAAGGTACCTGTGTGTAAATAGGCAGTTTCTAATTCGCATTTGACACACTATGATTTCTTCCCTTCTCGATTTCTCGTGCTTATGGGCTAATTGTTGCACTCAGTTTTTCTTTCGAATAGTTTAGCTCGTTTTGTTTTCTATTTGCCTTCCCAACTTTCAAATGTGTACCAATTCAAAAGTAAACTCATGCACCCAATTTTCAACTGAGATGTCATTTATTGCAGTTATGATTGTTATCTCTCCCTTCCTAGCCAAATGAGCAGTTTGGTGTTCTATTTCATAGCTCAATATACCACTATGGGATGAAACCTAAAGACCACATTCATTGTTCTTTTTCTTATCTCCCACCTTCTAGGATGACACACAATGGGCCTTTTTGAGGTCGCGGTGCACTCTTATATTAGAGCTAAAAAAAAAGTCTTTATTATAGAAGTTGCATCTGCAGTGGAAATGAAGTTCTCTCCTGGAATCCTCTATTAAAATATAAAGGATTAGAACAGTGTTCTTGTTCTTCGTATTATGTCAACGCTGAAAGAATATTAAGTTAAATAGTAGGTGAAGCTGGTTTTCGGTAACACAGACAGTGCAATCAAAATTATTTTATATTATGGAGGCATCAGTGTATGTGACTTGAAGACCTTTGTACCTTTCTAGTAATTGAAAGAAATAGTTTTAGATTTCTAGTAGGTATTCTTTGGAATATCTGGTCTTCAATTCAATGTCTATAATTGGTCTACATTTCTTCCAGTAAGGGATTTTGAGATCAGGAATGGACCTAATTGTGTTTATATCACAAGTTTTGTAAACCATATGTTTAAATTTGCTTCCCTCTATATCTCTAAGTCAGCATTTTTCAGATCCCTCAACAAATAGTTATGAGCCTGAGCGATGCTGTTGACGTGCTTTTTGACTCATGTTTTATTGATAAATATTCTCGTCTCATTCATGAATCTTCCGATTTGGCATATAAACTTTCTACTGGAAAAATTTGAAAAGCCTCTGTAAAGATTCTTATAGCTGAATTGTGAATGAAATCTAGCATTTTAAGCAACATTTTGTGGCCTGTTCCATATATTTGGGCACCATATACTAATTACACTATGGTATATTTTTATGAGAATTAGTTTATCAGCATCCATAGGAAACATTTTTACTTTTGAACATAGTTATTTATTTTCATTTATTTACAACACAAAAAAACATTTTTTTAGCATATTTTAATGTGTTTATTATTATGTTTATGTTTATATTACTATTAGCTCATTTTTATGTTTCCTTCTATCTTTTCTAGCTTACATAATTTTATATTTATCATTTTTCTGATTTTATCATTTTGTATTTTTAATTTGAAGCCCTCATTATGACTCACATGTTTTGATCGAAATGTCAGCAAACTCAATAAACATTGACTTATTGACTGCACATTCTGACCATTTTTCATCCTTACAAATTCAATTGCCAAATAGATTTCCATCTCTAAATTGATATAAATAACTGACTACTGATACAATTTATTTTTTTTTTAAATAATTGAAAGGAAACATTTTTTTGTTATAATACCAGACATGCTTAAGTTTCTCACTATTTCTTTTCTCTAGTTTTTAATTGATATTATATTTGAAGATTAACTTATCCAATAACATATAAACATTATTTATATACCATTGATTCTTCAGAGTTTATTGAATATTATTTATTAGACTATAACTATAAATTATGTGTTTATCAACGTTTTACATTTACTTTTTAAAAAATGACTGAAAAAATTAGGACTAGATATTTATAAAAAGACTACTCAGTCCACAAAAACAATTACCAAGGTAAATTGGCCACTCACTGAATAATAATATAATGTGAGAATACCAAGGAAACTAAATCAGTATCACACCACATTGTTTTTTTGAGTAAAATAGAGAAGTTAGCATACTTCTCTGGCAAACTAAACTAAAATTTCTTAAGACAAGAAATTTGCTACTATAAACAGATTGTAAGGCTACTAGTGATTTTCCCCTGGTAGCTGAAAATCGAAGTAGATACCAAGACTTTATCAAATCTTACTCATATAAACTAACCTTAATTCAATAAGATATTACCACAAATATGAAGTTTTTCTATAAAAATCCCAAGCCCCTTCTTTAACATATTTAATACCCTAAAATACAACTTGAGACACAAAGTAACTGTCACAAGTAGAATATTTTAATGTTCAGAGAATAACTTAAAAATTTAAAATAAATTATAATTAAATTAAAAATCCAATAAATACAAAGATGAAATATTAATATATTTCTTATTAGTTGTAAATAGTACTAACTTAAGTATAGGTTCTTTAACATCCTCTTCTTCTTCTCTTTCCACTTCCCTGAAAGAAAAATAATAAACAAAATTAGTACTAAGTATGAATTTGAAGATTACTTGGAAATAGTATTTCACCATCATCAAAATTAGAATAAATGTTTTCAAGAAAATATGATTAATATTCTATATTAAACTGAATTTCCTGATGTTAAGAATGATATTTCATGATACTTGATGCTAAGAAAGACTTTCAAAACAATAGTTCATTGAAAGACATTGATGTATGTTGAAATGACTTCAGTTTCTTAATATAGCATATAATAATTCTGTAATTAAAATTAAGTTTACATTCAACATCCATCAATATTGTTTTGTTTGGTTTTTTTCCGTCTTAATTTACATAATATGAAATTTCAAAATACTCATAACAGATATCGATATTCATAAAGTTTTAAACACAGTTTTTCAAACTACTAATAAAATTAAGCTAACAAATTTTTTTCCCAAAACCATACAATTTCACAAATATTTAAACTGCAATATTTTGTATAATATGAAACTAATTTGTCATTTCTATTTTACTGAAGTTCAGAGGAGTTTAAAAAATAAGAAACCAGTACCAAGAAGTCATTTCGATAACATCAACAACCGGAATAAGTTTATTCGGAATCTAATCCTAAATTTAAAGAGAGGTGTTCATACTTGCATACATTTATCTTCACATAACTAACCGAAAATTCTATGAAAACAAACTTTACAGATGTCTACCTCTTCATTGATTTATTTTTTCATTATTGTATTATCTTTTTTTATACTGATTATTTATGTGATTATGTAAAAATCTGACTTATAACACACACATAACAATTTTTAATATTATAATTTATAAATTATAATACTAATCATCCCAAACCATTTTTATGTTAAAGAGTACGATGTCTTAATTTTTCTCTTAATCAAAATTTATATTTTATATTGCATGCAAGTTGCACTACAACATATTAGAAATTGTATTATATTCAACCTAGGAAGATGATAAAAATTTAAAACAACCAAATTATGTAACTTTATAGATTTTCAGATTTTTTTTAGTGACATAAATAGTTTTGTAGTTTAGGGCAATGATAATATAAAGTTTTATCCTTGTTCTCCAGGGATGCAGACTTTTTTTTTCTTCTATGACAGATCCTTAACAGATACATACTTATAAAAATAATAACCTACACATATATCAGATAAACACATTCTTTAGAAATTGAAATAATAAAAAACAATATTCAACATATTTTAGCAAAAATAGGCAAACCGAGCTGATTGATGACCCTGGAAATTCATCATACCATTCCTAAACACATTAATGGAATTCAGTTGATCACATAATGGAATACCAATGACTCCGAATGGAAGAAATCTGGTCAGACTAAAGTATAAACAATCCAAAACGAGCTTATATTTATTAGAAATAGGATGAACATTTTCTTTTAAAGAGAATACCAAATTAGGAATTATGTTAAATTAATTATTTTCCTTTCAACTAATATTTTATTTCAGTAAAAATATAATAATTTCACATCTCATTTGATTGGTGGGACAAGATCACATCAATCTGACTATATTATCATATCATATTAAATGCCGAAATTAACGGAGTGAGTCTGAAAGTATAGAGAGGTGACAAATTTCCAATATCAGCAAATATAAATAACAGGACGAACAATCTTATTAATAAGGTACATTGATGTCATTTACAATGAAATAAACATTTTTAATGTTTCTAACCAACAATTGGAAAGGCCATCATTATTTTTTTTTACTTTAAGTTTTTAGATAGGAAAAACCCAACTAAGCCCGAATGAAAAATTAGAAGAGTTAACTGCAAACGTATATAACAATTCTTTACAAATAGTAACTAAAATTCTCAAGTATTAGTAACTATTTTGCCTTATTTTTTATTAACAAAAACAATTTTTTTTTCAAGTCTTGGTCTTGGTCTTGCAACAGTTAAGACAATCTTGATCTTGGTCCTGCAAAGTGTAAGACCAAGACCGATTTTGGGCAACACTACTCCATACTAACTCGTACTCATTGAAGGTAAAACTTTTATTCTAAATCTTAGCAGAAATATATTCGCACGTGGCAACTGGTTCATCCTATTCGTGCAAATAAATATAATTCACACCTGGAAATAATATCGTTTGATGGTTAAATACTGTGTCAATAACTTCTTACCCTGTCAAAAATTGGTTTTTGCATTTCAATAATTGGTGAAAAACTTGTCATCAGTTTTGGGCTCAAAAACTTGAAAACATTATAGTATTTAGGCCAATATATAAACGGAATCAGTAGAACAGACTGGGATTAGTATGAAAAACTTTGAAACATACAGATTAGTTAATTAATAATAACTTTAAGGTACATTACTTGAAACATTGTTAGCATCAACAACTGGCATTTTTACCATAAATATATTTTTTTTTTTCTTAATTGAGGAAAATATATCGATATTTATGTTTAACCATTTTTTTTACAAAATTTGTGTAATGGACCAAATCGCACTCTGAGTTGCCACAAAGAAAAAAAAGGGTACTAGTTCACATGAGTTTCCCACGTATTACATGTGATTCACAACCACTTCGTTCACACTTGTTCATGGAATCCCAAAAACAGGGAAATGTTGCCATCTTTTATGACATCAGCAATTGCCCCATTGCACAATCCCTTTTCATGGATTTCCGAAAAATCCGCATATTCCCATCATAGAACTTCTTTATTAATGAATTATGCATTTACTAATTTGTTAATTAGTAATTTTTATTATAACTCATGAAGAAAAATAAATACTGTTGTACCTTATCTTTTATAACTATGCATAAAAGAGTTTTTATCATTATAATTTCAATCGCTTGAGTAACAAATAATCTGAAGTTATCTATTATCATTTTATTCGTTATTCTTATCAATAGATAATAAATGATTCAGAATATTTGTAACTAATGAATAACCAAGAAATGACATCGAATAACAGATAAAATGCATCTATTAATCGTTATCTAGATAAATATTTATTCAAATAATGGCCAACTCCAACGGAATCTGTTGATTTAACACTTACATAGTTGGACCATACTGTTAACTTATAATTTATTTTCTTATTTTAATCGCTATTATTTTTATGGAATGAATTGACTGCATAACTATTGTTATTCGTAGTTAAATTGCTTAATAATCCGAAAATGTAGACTTAATGTAGTCATTCAGAAAAAAAAAATGTTTATTTTCAAGGAAGGAATTAACGTATTGGGGAAACAACTGATGAAAAATATCTGATAAGTCCAATAATGAATAATGGAAATCATCATTAAAAAAAAAATATATATATATATATATATATATATCCTGAAATAGCATTCAAAAATATAATTATTTAAGGTTTCTTTTTTACTATTTCTTTTCCACATCTGTCTAATATATGTATTAGTTCGATTAAGGTTACATGATGTAGCCTAAATTTCGAATATAAGTTGGCTAGTAGTGCTGTATAACAGAACATGGTTAAGGATATAGTACTCAAACGGTGGGAAAGTTAACAGCAACAGACTCAAGAGATTGGTCACCTTCATTCTCTTTCAGATGAACCCGAACTCATTTGGCACTACATGAACAAGTGTGACCAAAGTGATTGTGAACCACACGTAATCCATATGAAATAGTACTAAAAAGTTAAGGAAAATGTCAAAATGATATAGTACATCAAGTAAACTTACTATGGACCAGAGCTGACTTAATCCAACATAAACATTAAGTTACCAAGATTTAGGAATCTATTGTTTACTTTAGTCTACATGTCTACATCTATTTTTAGATAAACTCGGGTTGTTATGGATGGGTTCAAACCAGCCACCATCTTGCAATAGTGAGAACTAGTACATTATATTTGAACTTAACAGTTTTAAATTATTTTAGTTCTATTACATATTTTAATCCCCACATATATTATTAGGCTTGAAATCGGTTTTGTACCAAATATAATCTCCTGTCATACTCAAATACCATGAATGGGGTACCGTTGGATTCAGAATTTCACAGGAGAGAGGGGAGGGGGTAAGTGAATAGTACTCTCAGCTTTGTTTTGCTTCCTAAAATAAATAAAGTCGATACAAACATTTTGCTAGGCTTCAATTCTGGAACGGTGGTAAGTCTGTATATCGATACGAGACAAATTGGGCTTTGAAGATTTTGATGGGTACAGCAAGACAGATAGTTCCTTCGGCACTATAGGGTCCTGCGTTCTGCGTTCTGAAGCGCAAAAACATACTATTTTCGAGATAATGCAAAGCAAAGGATTCGCATCCACACAACCTTAGGTTAATTATAGTACTGTCATGGAATACATGTCTTATATCGCCGACTTGAGGTCACTATGATCGAGAGAGCAGTTTATATTGTTTATCAAAGATGTTTTTTTGTTGCAGGCAAAAAAGTTATTAAGGAAAAGAAACTTTATTGGCAAATAACTAAAAAATTACACACTTTTATCTTGGGTTATGTCCACAATATAAAAAATTAGTAAATTCCCTACAAAAGGAAAAAAAAATCATCGAAATCAGACAATTATTAGCAAAACTAAAGCTTATTGATATTTGTAAACATGTTGGTTCCAAACATTAAAGAAGTTTTAAATTAATTTTTGTTTTCCTTTGTCGTATATATTTAACAAGAGAGTAACAATTTATTTATTTTATGACACGTTGTATTATTTTATTTTCTTATTATTTATTGTTTGATAACTGAACAATATACTGTGTGAATTTTCGCACGGGCCTACTAGTTACTATTATAAAATTCAGTAAAAAAAAATTGATAGATGTTTCTTTTATTTAGAAAGAAGAGGATTAAAAACCTAGATGTAACAATACAATATTTAAAAAAAAAAGTTGTATCAAGACCATAGACCAGAACTAGTAGGTAAATTTTAAAATATAAAGAAGAAGTAAAAGAAGAAATACAAATAAAGAAGATAAACAAACATAAGAATGGTACATTTAACTGAGGCTCACCTTGAGCATTAATTAATAGAACCGATTAACAGATGCAGTTTTCAAGAGAAGTACCAAAATCAATAACTGATAATTTTAGTTGTTAAACAAAACCATGAGAAAATGTGGTCAAATTAAGTTTTTAATCCATCAAAGAAGAAAACTTATAAGTCACAATAAGGTTTACAAATAATTAACGAGGAAAAATGACAATAAATAATAATACTTTATGATTGATAATACCTCAGTAAGTAAGTCTTATTAAATAAAACCAGCAAAAACAAATATAAAAACACAGTTAAAACAGAAATATTTTATTGAACAAAGAGCAATCAAATAACAATACCCATTACTTAAATAATTATAATAAAAGTGATCATTAAACAAGCTCTTCATTTCTTTCAATTTCTAGGTAACTTCATTATCATAAATAAAAATTTGTTACAAAAAATTTACAAAATTAATTAGCAAACATTAGGAGTTATCAATCTCCAAAGAAGTTACCAGAGAGTAATAAACCTGAAAAATTGAATTAATAAGTTTAAAATTGACTAAAAGCTTAAATCTTGGAAATTAAAGAAGATACATCACTATACTTAATCAAAACAACAAAGGTTGAACAATGGTAAAAGTTTTCTTATAGGATACACCAAAAACCAGTAAGTTTTAAGCAGGATAAAACTTACGAATCCGATGATTGTATCCTTTTCTTCATTTTAAGTTTCTTCCACTGCTCTTCAGCTTCACTAGAACCAGTATCTGTAAGTTTTTCGTCAAGTAATCTGTCTCGCTTCCTCCTTCCTCTTTTTTTCTTATTTTCTGACTACAAGGTAACAAAACAAAAATGGATAACAGATTTTCAAGTGTTGGTGACCATTATAGCATGTTAAAGAACAAAATCATACTGAAATGATGTTTTTAAAAAATATAAACAATTAACTAACATAAACTAAATACAATGTTGACAACCGAGTGTAAGGTTTTCGAGATAGAGAACGCCGCCAAAAGATGGCTGCCGAAGCGGTCTCTCGTCCATATTTTTTCTTATAAATGATTTATTCATTTTTTATTATCTATTTTAAACGGCTTAAACATGACTTGCCGGTTTAAATCACATCCTTAAACCAAAATAATTAGGAATATGCATAAAAAAATCTTAGTTAGTATGCATAGATAGAAATATTTTTAATGGGTGGGGAGGGGAAAAAAAAACAAACGTAACCTTCCAAGAGTGTTATACGGTAACAGAAAAAAAACCTAGCCTTGCATTCCCGCGAAAATTATTAATATAATGAAGAACTTACCAAATTGATTAAGAACACTACTATCGCTCCTTGTCGATCAATAGCTAAATGTCACTGCCTTATAGTTCACACTAAATTCTATGTTATCCCTATTTACAGCGAAGCGAATCAAGATTTTCATTACGTCCTTATAAATAAATTAAAGAACGAAAGAAAATATCAAAAATTCGAAATATTTATAAGACCTGTACAACTATTGACACCTAATGGACCACGTTATTTGTCTAACTAAAAATATATAATTCGATTTATTGATATTTCATATAATAGCAAACAAAGTCCCGATATTTATCTTCATTTTCTTGAGATGGTTATATAATTCTCTGTTGAAACACTAATGATGAAAAATAGTCAGGACATGCAGTAAAAAAATGATTTTTATTGAGTTTACTGACGTTTTGACCCAAACATGTGGGTCACCATCAGGGTTAAATATACAAAATTACATCAGAAAAATGATAAATTTAATAGTAATCAAAGGAGACAAATTTCAGGAACTTAAAAATGCTAGGATACATGATGATGTGCTAAGAAAATGTTATTGTTTTATAAATAAGTAAAAATGGTGCTTATCTTTATTTTCAAATTATTAATCCTGAAGATTAACCACATTTTTAAATATAAATCATAATTATGTATATATGTAAATGTAAAGATACCCATTTTAATTGAAGTACTTATACTCTGGCACTAAATTAAATACCCTAGACACTCCTCCTCTTTTCCACCCCATTTCTGTTCCTCACTCTTAATTTATTTGACCATCAATCTCAATAAATTGGTCAATATATACATCTAATATAATAAATAAATTATACAATCCCTGCAGGAGAGTTTATTTTTTCAAATACCCATTCATAAGTTTGTAAAAATGAAGAAAACATATTAATTAGAAGCCAATGTGATACCAAAACTTAAGTTTTGAATTGAGAAGAAAATTCAGCTAGAACTTGACTCTCCCTACATGAAATAAAAAATATAGTATTTTTTGTTGATTAAGTTAAAGGCAATTGGCCATAGAACTATGAAAGTTGGCTTCTTTTAAAAACAGGCGATATAATCTAGAAAACATTTTTATCATTTCATATTAATATCAACAACATCTATCCGATGAGTAGAAAGTTAAAAATTTTGAATGTCAGAAAATTGCTTAAATACATTTAATAATGTTTTATCCTAAATTTATATTATTGGTGTAACATTGTTGTTGGAATTGCATTGAGGTGTTGTTAAAAATTCACCAGTCCCTGTGATGCTGCTAAGAACTCCCTCCAACAACGGAAAGCAAGGGCTTGACCTGACCCATCGTAGACGCAGACTTTACCAATCATGAAGAGAGAACACAACAAAAGTCAACAATCATACCAGAAGTGCAGATGTGACGAGGCGCAATACATTTTGTAAAAAGTATTAGTCCAAGAGCAAAGAATAATAAAACGAGAATAATTCACGGAAACCTACGTCCTGGGATTGGTTTATCATGGAAGGGTCCATAAAGAATCCTTGGGTTAAATCATACAGAATGGCTAAAAGATAAATTGATCCAGTTACTACAGTAAAACTAAGGAAAAATTACTTGAAACAAAAAAAATATGAAACTTGCCAGAAATCGTTCATTCTTTCCCTTAATAACTGGTAAAAAGTGTGGAAGTTTTCTGTTTTAGGTTTTGATAGAGTGAGTGGGGAGCAGCAGTAAAAACTAATATTTTTTTAAAATGTTTGATAATATATAAAAAAACATGAGGTTTATCACAAAGATTCTTCACTACAATATCAAAGTCATAGTAGCAGAGTTTGGAGGGAACCCAGAATGGAAATTTTGCTCCTATAATCAGAGTGTTTTAAAATCTCTTTAAAAATGATGCTGTACATATTTCCAATAAAATCAATTATTATGGGGACAGTAAAAGGAAAAAATTTATGGAAATTCCATTTTAAAAAAAAGGTAGTAAAAAGTAAAAACCACTTTGAAACCGCTGAGTCAATATATTAGCTCTTTATTGTTTAGTTGCGCCAAGTCAATATTCCGGATTGTTACAGAGCTCTCTAATGGGAACACCATTAGTCATAGGTAGTTTCTGGAACCAATAGATAGGGTGAGATAAATTATTTAGTCCTAGGCAACCTGTAGGGCGAGGGATCTGACCTCAGCTTTTTGTATTCGTGTTGATTCCACCCCTACTTCACCCTTCTCTGGTCTTTTGAACACAGTTTAGCTCTAAAACTAACAGCAGTTGAGAGTTTTTTGAAGTGCGAAAGTTGAAAATGAGTTTTAACATTTTTTTTAAGATTTAAAACAAATTTTAATTTTTTTTTTTCAAAAGTATAATTTTTTTTAAAAATTGAATTATATGCAATAAACTCTACCGTACCCTGAAACGTTTTTAAATTTTTTCCATACCAAACATTATCAGAAACAATAATGACACTATATGTACCAACAAAATAAAAATTAGAATTTATCAAAAAATAATGTAAAAGTTGCAATATAATATAAAAGTAATGTAAGACAATTCATAAATTATAAAATTAAAAGAAAGTTTAAAATAAAAAAAAAAAGATATTTAACTGTTTATTGAAATCTGACCTAACATCATATTAAAGAAAAATATATAAGTCAGTTATAAAAAAATGCATATTTTAATGTGAAACAGTGCGAAGTGACAGGAGCAATTCAGTGAATAAACCCTGCACACAGAGGGTTGGCTAGGCCAGCCTTCAGTAACCCGCGCGTATGGCACCTGATCTTAATTAAGGCTGCGCGCAACTAAAAGGTTAAATTATCATGGTTATTTTGGGATGGCAGATTATCAAATCACATATTTTTTTTTTTTTTTTTTAACTCAACTTACTCAATAACAAAAACCAACTTAATCAATATGGACTTAAAGCTAATTAGACAAGAAACTTTTTTCTGAAATGGAGTATTTTTAGGTCAGTTGGATGGTTATAAAAAAATCACAAATAATTCAGAGTTTATGAAATATAGTACTTATCAGAGTTAACTGCTTAAAAGTCCACTTTTAATTGTTTTTAAAAAGATAAAATCTACTGGTGTTTAAAAAATGTTTGTCTACTTTACTGAGAAGCAAATGTTATTAATTTGCTTTTGATCCAATAATAAAAATGAGGCTCATTTAAAAAACTATAAAACTTAAATATTCTGGTTTTCAATGTAAGATCAGATCTTGGTGTAAAGTAACTTCTTCGTTCTTCGAGTAGCCGTCTTATGTAGCACTGTGGTAGACAGTATGGTTAGTCATTTGCCCAGCGCTAAAGAAGAAGAGCGCTCAGGATCACCCAGTAATGAATTTGATGAGTTCTGAGGAGCAGTTTCTTGTTACAGCTTACATTGATGAGCTGGTGGCTATTGCGTCATCAAACTGTATAGCCATAATAAAAGAAACAACGACCTGGCAGATGGGTCAAATCAAAGAGTCGATTCATCAGAAAGAATTGTACCCTGAAGTGATTCACCCGAAAAAATCACAATTCACTAGGAATCAGTATCAGTCAGCACATAAAGAACTGGCCGATTCACTAAGAATTGGAATTGGTTGAATCTCGATGACGCTGCTGGGACACTCTCTCATAGATCCCTTAGTTCTTCACTGATGCTTACCAGGTTTGTTCTAGGTAATCTTCTAATCTGTTTCATTATTTGCTCAGTTGTTTTTCGTTGTTCTGTTACCTTCTGTAATATACTATTTTTATGATCCATCATCACTTCAGACATTTCTAACCTATGCTTATTTAATTTACTACTTTGTTTATTTATTTTTTTCTAGTACCATTATTTTTAATTATTTATTATTTTGTAAATATTTAATTTAATGTATAGCCACACTGTCATGTTATACTTATAATTTGTTTAATGGAATGTACCTTTATAAAATTAGTCCTAAGCTAATAAAATTATTTTTCATTTCATTTACAATTTACATACACATACCAAAATCTAATATGTAAAATTAAAAAAATATCATTTTCCAATTATCAAATCCTTCCTACTTATCAGATCCATAACTTTCAATTTGTATACATTGGAACCAGAACTTTAAATTTCAACAGTTAAAAAAAAATGTTTTTAACTGAATAACTATAAGGTTTGAGAATGAATACAACAAACTCTACAATGTCGTCTAATTAAATTTCATGACTGGTGCAAACTCTGGAAAATTCAACTCAACCAAGACGAATCATAACATATTACTTTTACTCTTCAACCTGAAACTTGTCTTCATATTTACCTCGACAATGTCCAAATTCCTCAAACAGATAAACTTCAATATCAAGGACTGACATTTGATACAAGAATGACATAGGGCCCACATGCCAAGAACAAAAACAAAAACACTAAACCTAAGACTACAACTGATATATTTACTTCTTTCAAAACATTTTAAATTAAAACTTTGACAAAAATTGAGTACATAAACTTACTAGAGTCCATTTAGACCTATGCTTCATAGATCTATGGGACAGCCAAAATGACACATATATGTAAACTACAGACTTTTCAATCAAAAACTTTCAGGACTATAACCAAAGTTCCTTGGTATGTTAGTAACATTACTTTATATAAAGAATTACAGTTGCTAACAGTTAATGACCACATAAAATGTTTTAGTTTATACTACAAAAGATTTCACAATAACTTAGATGGACATAACAACTCACTGATTCAAGGCACAGCCACAACCAACATGCCCAATAGTACTTGTAGGAGGCTCAAAAGAAGGTGGATGAGGGATCTCCTCCACTAACTATAAATATTAAATCAAGACAGGAAGGGACGCCACAAGGCATTCCTCTCCCATACGCCTACCAACTTCTTACTCCATATTCTTCTTTCTGACTGCATTCTTGCTGGTTATTGGTATTCCCAACAAGTGTGAGTTCAAGAATAAAGATTAAAAAAAAATTTAATTTATTTTAATTTTCACAAGAAATTATACAGAGGTGTGGTAAAAAAAAAAATAATACTATATTACATAATATTTATAATATTAATATTATATAATATTATAATATAGTATTTTTTTTTTACTGAGCTAATTTCTTGTGAAGAGCTAATTTCCGACTAATTTCTTGTGAAATTGTATTCACAGTCAACCATCTCCATATCATTATATTTCAATTTTATTATTTCATAATTATTTCTACATATAATTACTGTCTCAATTACTTTTAGATTAACAATAAACCAATTGTCTAAGACCATCTTTATTCAATATAATGGATAATAATTTCAAGTACACAAATTTTAACCCTAGAACGACACACCCCAGAACATTTTAAATAATTATTTACTTTTATATAAGTAGATCTTTGGCCAAGTTCTTTCATGTAAATAAACATCATACTTATCCAGGCTAATCACGGTCTTTAGCACTCCATTGTTGGGCTTATATCATTATTGGGAGTTATCGAAAGTCATTAAGGGGTATCCCACACCCCAGTGTGTTGTTTATGTAACTTTTCTGTGAATTTTGAATCCCACTGTTTTCTTTGTTAATTTGAAACTTGGATTCAATTTTGTAACTTCGAATTATTCAGGTATTGATTTCTAATGTTATATTTGTTAATTAGTGGTATTTTCAATTCAAACATTAATGTATAGAAACTATTTTTTTTGTATGGCAACTACCAAAAAATGTATTCTCCTGAAAAAATCCATAAATTGTTATGGGAGCTAGAAGATAAAGAAAAGATGCACGGAGCACATTAAATAAAGACGGCATGTGTACAAAATTTAAATGTGTCATGTGAATACTCAACAGCAAGAAAAACAAGGAGGTTGTCTCTCCGATTTTTCTTTGGAATGTTCAACCATGCTACTATAAACAGCATAATTTCAAAAGGTTAAAATGGAGAAATTATTTATTTGGATTAGGCTATTCCTAACATGAGCCCTGTTTGAAAGGAAAACTGCAAGTGGAGATACTCACACGAATGGAGTGTTTCAACATAAAATAAATTTGGGAATTAAAAAATAAATAACAGTTGGAAAAACAAATCAAATATACGTTTTGCACGAGAGGAAAAGATAGGAAGACAAAATGGTTTGTCAGCAATGTAAGAGACCTATCTGCAATGAACACTGGAGGTTTTATTATCTTTTAAAGTAAAAAAAGTTTTTCTTTTATTATATATATTACATTCTAAATATATATATTTAATTGATATAAACTTAATGTATTTTCAATGGAAGAATATTGATCCTTTTTTGACTTTTTAGCGATGTAGATGTTAGCTTTTTACTTTATGAGAGCATATAAAATATATTCTCTAAGGTTACCTTGAATTTCTTTATTTTTTTTGTTTTCCTGATTATATAATATATTTCTGAAAAGTATTTGACTTTTCCAAAGAATCACAAATAAATTTTTTGATAATTTAAAGTTTGAGGTGCACCACACCACAGTGCTAGAATGAGTTGGCGTATTTAAGTGTGTCGTTCCAGTGTTAAACTAACTAAATAGTTCATTCAACTAGTTTCATAAGAGCTAATCCAAAAAGAATGGTTCCTTGAAAAGTACTACTCTGCCCAATTCTACACTAAAGACTAAATTACTAGGAAAAACTTAGAAATGGAAGATTCAACGCACTCATAAAAAAAGAATTCTCTCACCTGATAGAACAAAAAAGTACCCCATACTACAAAGAATTAGCGAATACACTTTATCATAATTTTAAATTTGTTTGCTAGAGTCATGCCGTCTTTTCTTTTTTATTCATTACACTTGAAATATTTTTGAAGACAAAAAACAACTAAAAAGTTGAAAAATTAAACGTAAAAGTAACTCAAATTGAATAATACCGGCAAAAGACTTCACAACAGCATCAAACTTTATGTACAAACTAACATATTGTCACGGATTTAGAAAAATTTCTAATCTTTAAACTTTTTTAGGTTTTTTTTTTCAAATAATTAATCTATAAATCAACATCAAGAAAAAGATCTTATGCTCTTATAATTAAACACAAAATTTGAATATTTTGTTACTTTACTTAAGACACCTAAAATTATTACACTAGAGACCCATTAAATTCTTCGGTTGCATCCCCTGAACAATTTACTGTAATAGATTTTACTAGCACATATGAAATTTTCAAAAAATGATATTTTAGTTTAGATTTACTATGTTTTAGAAAAGAACCTCTAAATAATACTAGTTAGAGAATATCTTGAGTTTCAGGTAAAGAATGAAATCATTCAACAAAATCAATAATACACAATACCACAGAAAATCTTTTTCAGTTGTTTTAAAACTAAATTACATTATTTTTTAATTATCAATTTTAATTTTTATTAAGAAAAATTGCTAAAATTAAAATGTCATCTCACCAGGTTTTGAGCTTTTTTGGCACCTTTTTGTTTTTCAGTTTTTCGTTTCACCTCACAAGTTTTTTCCAATTCATTAACAATGGAATCTAAACTGCTGTCGGAGATAACAGACAAAGATCCTAAAAAGAGAGTTAACTTAATTAATTAAATTAGAGTTACTTAGCTTTATATAATCAAATAATAAATTTTATAATTGGAATTTTTATGTTAACTTGACCTTAAAGAAAAAATAAAGAAATTAACATAAATCATAATAAGAAAAATATTATAGAGGTCATTTAAGTTTTAATCTTTACCATAGATATCAGGCCGATTTAGAAAAAGTATTATATTTGACAGAAAGCTATAGGATGATAACAATATTAAAACAAATTGGACTAACCAACATAGCGATGTGCAGGTAAAGATGTTCTTAAGGAAAAAACGCAAAATTAATAGTCTTTTTACCACACAATTTTGTCCTATGATGGACACTTCAAAGTTTTTCAACAACCACAAAAATTATGGTTATTTTAAGATGACCCCACCGATACACACGAAAATTATTAGGCATTAACAGCCCTAAAGGCTACACAAAATGGTACAAAGTCAAGCTCCAATAAAACTAAAGATGTTCAATATTAGCACTAAAGATATGAATAAAAACATTTTGTTCTCAAAAAGAGAAACTTCTGCGTTTCTGTATTTCTAGCTTCTAAAGGAATAAAATCTAAAAATTATTGACATGGATTGAAAGAGCAGTAAGCTTTCAAATGGTGGTACTAACATTGAATTTGGAGACAATTCTGAGAAGTTATGAATGCTTTAATTAACAACAGGAAAAAAAATCCTCATAAGAAAATCAAGTACTAAAACTTGCAATTTTTTATTTCTAAAAAAAATTCATAATTACAAGTTTTAAAGAGCACAAAAACAAATCTCACTTGCTATTATACATTTACTAGAACTATTTTACCGTAAGTATCATTTGTTTTTTGTAATTTATAATACATTTCAATCCATTTAATACCATAGGCAATATTTTATCCTTGTTATCCACAAAATAAGAAATTGAATGGTAATAATCTGAACAAAACAAAGGTACAAAAATAACTATTTTTTTTCAAAAAATGATATAATTTTTTTTTTCTCGGCTCCTACGGCCTATTGGAACGAAAGCCAGGGCTCACATTTAATATTAGTCAATACAGTACCACAAAAAAAAAAAAAAAATGATTGAAATTGGTGACCCACTGACTGTGACCTCTCCTTGTAAGTGAAGAGTTGTTATAATATTAGAGCTGAAAAAAAAAGTATTTACGGAAATATAGTGAAGTTCAGATTAAAAATGGTGCAAATAATTATTTAAATAATTGTATTTCTTAAGGCTTGGAGTGAATAATAATTTCCAAACACTTTATGTTTCTTCTATATTTCCACAAATGATCGAGATGTGAGCTAACTTCTAATCTGCTGCAGTTTTGAAACGAAATATCATGTGGTAATATTGAGCTCAGAGGATCATCCTAGTATAACTTGTGATCTCATAACTACTCTTAAAAAAAAATTGACCCAGTTATCTCAAAACATCAACGCAAAAAGCCACTAATTTTTAAACAAAAGTGTGGAATGGTAATAATTTTCCAATTTTAGCAAAATTTATTGTAAATTTCAGATCGATTCCTGATCAGAAAAAAATCCTTCATATTCCCAAAAATGTTCAGTAAATTAATTGAATAATGAATTGATTTTATAGAAAAATTAATAACAGATATTTTAAAACGATCGAGGGAAAAGAGCAAATAAGCCTGTTTGTAGGAGGCCTGTTTACACCCACTGTCTTCAATTAAATTTTTTTATATCCTATGGTTCTTAAATATGTAAACATTATACTTGCATAACTAAATTATTTGTAATGATCTTCACCTTGAGAACTCCTGTTGAGCTCCAATGAATTTTTATTTTTTGAAAATCCTTCGGATAATGGATGAATACTGCAGTACTTGAAATTTAATAGTTTCAAAGAAAAAATTTTTTCAATTGATTACGCATTTTATAGACGATATTATGTACTTTTCAGTGCTACGATATGCTAAGTTTAACTTACTTTCATCAACATCTGATCTCAAAAAATCTTCAGTTTTGAACATATTAGTTTCCTTAAATGTTTTTGTATATTTATCAACATTCAATATGAATATATCATCATCAGCTGGTGAACCTAAAAATGGAAAAAAATCATTATTTTCAGTTTGGCTGGTCCAATAAGCACTTGTTATAAATAATCTTAACAGAACAATTACATGACTTATTAATTAACCATGAATAACACATTTTATCTCTGAAATTTAATTTACTTTTGAAAATTTGGAAATAAAAGCCTAATTGTTTAAAGTATGTTACTAAGGATTACTAACTCATAATATATGAAATAATAGTAAAATAAGTTGGTTGGGATTGCATTCATAGATGAAATTTCGCGCAAAAAAGCTTTAATTTCTTTTCTGCTGACATTTCGACCTATGTTTTAGGTCTTTATTTGGGTTAAGCAAAGACAAGATAACAACAAATAAGAAAGAAAAAGAAAAATGTATGTAAATGAAATGGTAATAAAATGATAATGACAAATCAAATACATATGTGTAAATGATGAGATATTAATATGTGCATGTGGGACCTGTCAAAAGTGTGTTAAGTAGATTTTTATGGGTACCACCAGAGAGCAATTTTTTCTCTCTTTCTTTTTGTATAATGGGCTAAGTTATTTGACTATTGAGATGAACACTCTTTTGTGAACCATGGATTCGAAAATTGAACTTGCACCTGTGAACATTCCTAACTTTCAATTGTCTTTTCCATAAATGATTTTTGCACTTAAATTTAATTTAGTCACACACCATGCACAGGAGCCACAGATATATATATATATGTATATATAAATGAGATACGAATGAAAACCATACTATATAAAATAAATAAGCACAGTATATCATGGAGACATGAAACTATATGTGAAATACAATGATCTGTTGTACGTATTTAAAAAAATCTTGGGGGCGCCCTCACACTATTTCACTTATCACCCTATTTGATACATTGGAATAGTATATTGAAATAATGCAAAATTAAAATTAAAATAATTACTAATGAATTGAATAATATGTGAAATGTAGGAAGTTATAAAGTAATAGTAACAAAATAATTATCTAAACAATGAAATAACAAAGTAAAGAAACAAAATATTAAGCAATGTAAATAAGAAGAATAAGTAGTAAAACAAATTAATAAGATGTAGTTGTAACTATAAGTTGATATAATATGAAATACACGATATATTCAGCAGAAATAAAATAAAATGTGAAGTTATATAAATCAAAAGAATAAGAAGTACATATAAAATAATAAAATGTGCTAACACGTATAAGTTAACATCTATACCCCAGAGATAATGGACGTCACCGTGTCCAATTTTTTATTAAATAATTTAGTAACTAAGAAATAAATTTTAATGGCTCACAGTTATGGAAATTGGGTCTCAAGACTAATATAAAAATGTTACGTAGTTTCTTCTTCTTTCAGTAATTCTTTCCTTCAGGGTACAGATTTGGTAACTAAGAAAAAAATTTTAAAAGCTGAAGTTATAGAAAAATAGTTTCTCTAAACAAATATCAAAATGGGCATGGTGTTCTTTACCTCTAGGTTACAGATATAACAACATGAAAAAAGTTGTTAAGGATATGAAAGAGGCAAAAAGAAGAAAAAGAGGGTGATGAATTATAAAAGATATGAGAAACAAGAAAAAATAACAAAACTTTATCCTTTTTTTTTTTCATTATTAACACATACAAAGGGAGTGGGGCAATTCAGTGGTAGGACGCTACTGAAATTCCAATGCTCAAGGTTCCAGGTTCAAATCCCGACATATAGCAAACAAATTATTTATTCTGTTTCATCGACCATGGATCATCCCTGGAATCAGGAGACCCTCCTGGGGTACATCCAGCCTCTATAAAGTGAGTAACCTTAATTAAATAATAAATTGGGAGGAAAACTTGGCCATTGAGCTTCATCTCGGTCAAATCACTTCTTTACAGAACTGTAGACCAAGAAACAGTACTTTTCCTAAATAGCACTGAACCATCATGGGTTGTAGAGGTACAAGTTTTTTTTAACATATGCAGATGTATACGATTATTATTATTACCATTTCCATACCTTTTTATCTGCTTATTTTCTTATTAATATTTATTTCTCTTTCTTAAAGGTGTTATCTCTCGTCTTTACTGAGCCCTGATGAAAGCCTACAGTGTAAGCCAAAACATTAGCACACAAGAAAATAAAGCCCTTTTGGGTGTTTGCTTTTATCTTTGGCTGCACTCCCAACCAACTTCTCCTTCTATTTAATCCAAGATCAACAATATCTCAACCATTATTAAAACCTTATTTATTAAAAATACAAATAAAATTTACCAGAATCTTCAGATGGATCACCATTTGCTAAGGACAACAAGGATGGTAAATTTTCTTTAACTTTTGAGCGTTTTGACTTATTATTGTCCTTTTTATTCTCATTACTGCTACCACTGCTACTGTCACTATTTTTACGTTTCCGTTTCTTTTGAGAGAGATTTTCAAGGTTACATAGACTGAAAAATTAAATATTAACATAATTTACATGAATTTTAAGTTAATAAATATAAAAGATACAATGTGGAAATGTAAAAGGTAGTCCTTTGATAGAGCAACAAAAAAAAGTTTAACTGGTTTACATGCTACTAGCTGGTACCACTAGCTGTCAGATCTAATCATATCAAAAGCTACAACAAATTTTAAATTAAGTATGTTACTGATTATCTATCTTGTAATAATAACAAAGACATGTCTAGTTAATTTAGATAAAGTTGGATTTTTATGAGAAAAAAAGATGTGGTTTTCTAGAAAAATTCTTTCAAAACATCATATCTCAACAACAGATTGAGTTAAGAATGGGTCAGTTTGCAGCACTGGACTAAATTTTTGTTATATACATAGGTACAACATGCATTTATATTCATATATGTTCTACTGTCTTAAAAAAGTTTTAATTCATAAGATCAATGCAACAATCACAAATAGAAAAAACTGGCTTCTTACAATACAATTTCTATATCTGACTAATAAAGATAGCAGTGGTATATTAAACCACAACTTCAACTATAAAATATATAATTTCAAAAAAGAGGAATATAAAATTAATTCTTTGAGGAAACATAATTCAAAATAATTTATATCCCTTGAAAAATATTTTAATTTATTTTCACAACATTACAATAAATAATTTTGTAATGGATTGTATTAAATAAGAAACTATGCTTATCAGATAAAGTAAAAAAAAAAACTGACATTAAAACTTTATTAGCTTTATATTTGATAAGAAAAGAGAAACAACTTGCAAGATGATTTTTCAGGAAATATGACAAAGGTTAGCTACACTATTGATTGCTTTCATCTTCTCAAAATCTCATCATAAAACTAATGTATTAAGCAAATTAAAATAGCCAAGCTTACTTCTTATCTACAAGAAACACTGAATAGCCTAAAAGGCGAGGAAGGAATGGAGAAAAATAAAGTACCTACAAAGCTGAAGTTGTGATAGCCGAGTGTGTTAGATGTGTTGCCCATTTTAGGATTTTCGTGTCTGGGGATGCCGGATCAAATTCAGACTGAGCGGGTGGAAATTTTATTTTGTGGTGGAACCATAGAATGAACTTCTACCTTCCCACTCTGGTTAAAATAGGTTTGGTTGTAACTTCAGAACATTGTAACAGCTTAAAATTTTCAAGTTTGAAAAATTTGCCAAATTTTGAAAAGTCCGAAACCTTATAGGTTTACTGAGCCTATTCTGGTCTCAAATTATAGTAACTTTAATCTCATTTAAAAATGTATAGAAAGTGTTTCGTTGAAAACTCATCCCTTCATGGTCAAAATAGAAAAAATGTGGGAAAATACAGCAGTTTTTGCGATATTCAAAAATGATAGGGGATAGGGAGAGAGGGGGGAGTAGGGCTATGAAGGTTTGGTTTTGCATCTCAGTTACTCTTTATGCTCCACGTAAGATTTTTATAAATGTTTTAAGAGCAAAACGGGATCCCAGAAATGGCAACAGGGTTTCACAGTTATGGGCTTCTACTAGCTAGGATTTGAATTTCATCGCATTTGTTCCTTAAAAAAATTAATAGAAGCTATTTCTCAAACTGATTTCAAAAGTGGAAAAACTGATAGAAACTGACCTCGACTATCCCAACTAAGTTAACTGACTTTTGCTTATATCATTTAAGTGTATTAAGACTGGAACTAGAAAATATATAGTTTTCAGTAAGAAAATTATTGAAAATTTACAAGGCTGGTGGCAAGATGTGGAAGGCATGGGCAAGATCATATTTTTGGTGGCCTTCATTAGACTTTGATAAATAAAACTTTAGTAAAAAATGTAACGTCAGTATCACTAATTAGCAGAAACCACACAAATACAAGTCGCAATGTTTTCATGCATGAAGAACTTCCCGGTCATCATCGCTAAAAGGTTAATGAATTCAGGTAAAACATAGAGTATCAAGGGTACTTGAGTACTTATACCGTACTTATGGTGAAAATTACATGATGGCAAAGAGCGATAAGTTGCCACTTTAGAACCTCAAGTCCAGTTGTAGGACTTGCAATTTTGTTCAGTAGAAAACTAGTGATATTTTACTTACAATTTTAGAAAATTAGTATTCCCTATATTAAACTACTGCCCTATTTTAATAAACAGTGAACCACACTGAACACGTGTAAGGATGATTTTGAGTGAAAATCGATAGAAATGTTGAGAGATAAACTCATATTAAAAATTACTGATATTAAACACGAATGTAAATAATATTTTGTTTCTTTATAAAATAGTTTTGAAAACACATTTCTAGCTTTTCTAGGACAATGGAAATCCTGATATATTATCAATTATTAATAGTAAAAATGATTTAAATTATAAGGACATTCTTTAAGATTAATAGTTATTTTGGCATTGGCCAAAATTTACATATAAATTTTTATTCACTAATTTATAACTTTGTAGATAAAAGCTAGAGATATTCTTATATAAGTATATACAGGAATTAATACAAGAATACTACCACAGAGTTCTATTATGGATGAGGCAATGTCAAGAAAAAGATAGCGAGTGCTATTTCGGATCTGAAGCTTACACAACTGACATAATACAGGAGATGATACACAAAAAAATGGAGAATACATCATAACTTGTTTATTTATCAATAGTATTTCACCAAATTTTAATAACCTTCAAATTAATTCCCATTGACTGTAATGCACTTATCCAATTGTTTCTGCCATTGTTCATAAATGTTTTTAAATTCACTTATTGGGATGTCCTTTAGCCCTTCCAACGATTTTTGTTTTATCCCCTCCACAGTCTCAAATCTAGAGGACAGAGAGAAGTCACTGTAGGGGCAGATCTGGTGAATTGAGGGATGAGCAATCGAAGCCGTGCTGTTTTTTGATCAATAACTGCTTTCACAGACAGCCCAGTAAGGACAATTGTGTGGTTGTGGAGAAAGAATCAATCTAATGTACGAAAAACACACACTCTTTTCTTCAGGATATTATCCTTCAATCTTTTCAAAACTTTCAAGTAACCCAAGCATTGATTTTTTAATGTTGTTGTTGGCTCTTCAAGTTCAAGGGCATCCCGAATGAGGTAGTTCTTCAATCAACATCTCTCTCTACTTAAAACATGAAAACCATATGTCTTTTTTTTAGGGCGTCATCCACATACAATGTTTTAAGCATCACAAGATTTATATGTGCATTTTGTCTACCAAAATTTCACATTGCAGCTTTGCTCCCAGCATTCACCCATCTCATGTTTTCGCCAAAACAGAAGAAGTTATTTTACTTAAAAACTCATGGAGGAATACACTCACAGCGACCAAACTTTCCACACTGATTCCTGAGCCCTCCTCCCCCTCTGCTGGAGTTGCTCACAGAACCCTCCATCAAAGAACCGGATCCCTCACTCAGCTTCCCCACCATAGCCCCATTCCTGAAATTTTTAGATCCCTCTAGCACATGTCAAATACTCTAAAATTATTCAAGTTATGCACTCAAAATATTTGCAGTAATTAATTAATTGTGTTTTAATTAATTAAGAAAACAAGATTTATTATATATAAATTTAAAAGTGGTTAAATATGCAAGTTAAACTTAATTATCATAGAATTATTAATTTTCCAATCACTAAATATGAGAATGAATAAAAAAATAATGCAAAAACATTTCATAATTTCCAGAAAAAGTAAAATATACTTGGATTTCTTAATTATATTGTGTTAAAAAAATCTCATCCCTAATTCCTTGATCTGATTTCTCATCATCTCATGTTCTGGAAGGTTAAGTAGACATTAAAGTATAACTTACTTTGAACAATCATCATCGGAGGAAGAGAATATAGTAGTCTTTTTTGTACTTTTTGGTTCAACTTTTTTTTTCAATACTTTTTTTCTACTCCCTTCATTATTTTTGGCCTGATCCTTTTTTTCATCTATCAGCCAATCAGTATCGCTCTGAAATGAAATCAGTTTATTTTAAAATAATTTCCTTAAAATTACTATGTTATTTAATTTGATTCAGTAGTATTTTAAATCACCTTAGGGTATTCATTCAAATATTCTGATAACATATATGAATAAAGAAAATCATGAAAATGAATTGTTAATCTAAGATTATGAACCATTATCGTGTTAAAACAGGATAGAATCCATCCTGAAGGGAACCCCATTTTAAATAATAAAATTCATAACTACAATTGGGTCATAACCATAAGTAAATATGTTAGTGATGATGATGACATTTTTGGTAAGGTAATAACATCCCAAATTATAAGTTAACTAATTTTAATAATGAAAAGATTAATTATAATTAATATTAAGGAGCAATGATTTTTTTTTTTTTTTTTTTTTGTGATTTCAGTCAATGGAGAGGCAAAACAAAATTAGGGAGATAAGTAGAAAATAAGCAACAAAGGGATAACAAAAGAAGAAAAAGTTAGAGGAAGTTGTAAGGTAGTTTCAAAGATAAAATGATACACAGAGATACAAAAATATAATAAGAAATAGATGAATAAAGTTATTTATAATTTAGAAAGAAAAAACAAAAAGAAACATCTGGTGTGTGCAACACACAACTTTCACTTACCGCTCAACGTTGGGCTATTATAAAATTTTCTAATTGCATTTTTAACTGAGCTAAAACTATAGTTAAGAGATTACAGCTAACTAATCATAAACACCATTAAAATAACAAAAGTTCTATTTATTATATCATTGGTTGATTATGGATTGTGCGATCTGTTGATTATGGATTGTACGACTATTAGTTATTTAAACTGTATTTTCCATTGCAAAGTTTACTAAAACGGAATTAAGAGATTTATATTTTCTGTCATATACAGGCCAAAAGTTGTCACACTAATTGCAAGTGGATACTGTTGGAATATCACAAAAGGAAATTTCATCAAACTATTCACTAATTTCAGAAGTAGTTGGGGGGGTGCGGTCAAATAAATGATCATATATTCACTAATTTAATTTTCTAAAAGGTTACATGATGATTTTTCAGAATAAACGGATGTTAGATACCTAAATATTTAAATATAATATCAGATCTAGATTTATTAAACTACAGTAAATATATTTAAGGTTATAAACTTATCTATGAAATAGTTTTATATTTCTCTTCTTCATTCACACAAGTACAATGAAACAGTATCTTAAACAATGTCATTGCCTTGAATCCGTTTAAATATAAATATAAATTTATATATCATATCAAATCTATAATCACTAAGCTACAGTAAATGTATTTAAGGTTACAAAACATATGGTTTATACATCCATGAAATGATTTTATATCTTACATCTACTTTCACACATGTACAATGAAATAGTTTTTTTAACAATTTCATTGCCTTAGTTAGATGGATTTTAAATACCTTTTTTCAAACTTAAAAATATTTTAAAAGTTTACATTTAGTTAGTAAATTTCATTTAATTTCCTTGAAAACGTGTGATTTACGTTAAATAATGTTAGTTTTAAGAGATTATTATTTATAATTTTTTTGCCACTCTCCTTCACCTTCTACAACTTTCTATATTAGATATTGTTTCCAACGATATCTTATAGGTATAGCTCCTGACTAGAATTTCCGGAGATTCATTTTCGACTTGGATATGCATTTTAATTTTTTTTCTCCTTTATTCAATTATCAAATTCTATCAAAAGTTATTTTTAGAATTTTTTTCATAACTTTTAATTATGAGAGGTAGTTAATTATTTGAAATGAACCATATTAAAGGTACTTTAGAGGAAGACGCATATGAACATTGGGCATTTAAGCTTTGTAAAGTGACATCAACGGGGATAAGACCTAAATGATATTAAAGACCACTTAATTATACAATGATACACCGAGGTTAATCAAAATCGTTAACGCCGTTTTTGAGAAAATTGTAAAAATGTGTTCAGCGTTGACATAACACAGCACTTCCGGTAAGCCGATTTTAAGGAAAAAGTTGCTAGGACATCTAACGTAATATCAGTTTTGTACAACTTTTTGTTTTCGAACTAGTGTTCACGTACACACAGACCATTTTTCGGGACCTGATTATTTAGACTCAGGGTACCTCAAAACGTGTATTTCCGTTGAAAACTGAGACTCGAAAATTTTCACGATCACAATATTTACCCTTACTATATATTATATATATAGGTAGGTGAAGGTAAAAAACGTTAAAAAACACTGTTTGGATTACTAAGGGACAAATTTTAAGCTTATTTAAGCTCTATGGTACGCTACTGCAATACATTTAGTAATTTTCATCTCTTCAGTAGTGAAGAAGAAAAAATGTAACAATTATCATTTATTTTTTAAAATTTCTTAATTTTCTAGCTACTCAAGGAACTTGTTATAAGACAGATACAGAAAATGTTGCAATTTCTGAAAATATTTTATTCCAAATCTTGATGCTACAATCTAATGTTTAAATACAGCGATAGCCAAACATCAATATCAATACATCAATCTAAAACCATTAGTGGTTTTACTATAAAAATAAATGTTTCAAAAACATGGTCTGTTTGCATTCCTAATTGCAAGGAATATGAAGTCACTTCACTTACTGTATAGTAGATCTAAGATGAGTTTGTCTGTAGGGAGAAGGGAGCTTACGCAGCCTTCCCCTACTCATGTTCCACCTCCCCGAAACACTATCATGAATTTATATACATTAATAATTACGTTTTTGGCATGAGAGTGAATAGTTTTCCTTCTACACTGTTTATTTGACATAGTAAATGAAAATTGGTAAAAGAAATGATAAGAAAATGTATAAAGGAAATTTCTAATTGTAAAACAAACTGTAGAAGCACATAGGAATGAGTAAAGATTTTGAAGACCGGGGGATTGGCGGGTAATTATTTTGCCACAGAGCATCTCTCACCCCCTCTACTCACCCACAAACTCATCTTAGATCCACTATACCAAACTGATTAAGTGTGATGAATGAACAAGGTTCAAGTACCTTATTGTTAAATCACTCAAGAAAATTTATTACACCATAAATCAAATAAAATTTTAAATACTCACCATTGAGTCTGAAGATGTATCCCAGTTAATAACTGATTTTTTTTTTGGAGGTGAAGTCTTTTTTTCTTTTAAAGATGAAGAAATTTCTGTACAGTCTTCAGAAACATCAACATTGACTTCTTGCGACATATTGGTTTCTGAAGGACTAGGTACCACTACAGAGCTGGTGGTTTCTGATTGGTTATTTGTACTTTCTGATTCTGTCATGTTGGTAGAAGAACTTAATGATATGCTTGTATTACTCACTGATTTGGGTTCATAGTTGGTATTATCTATTTCCTCTTCATTATCAATACTTATGGTTTTTTCTGTACTATTGGTAACTGCATCATGGTAATTTTTGTTCCTACTACTGTCGCTAGAAGCATTTATACTGTTTGATCCCTCATTTGAAAGTTCTTCTAGCATTAGTTTATTTACTTCACTAGGCTTACGAATACGGAGGCCACCATATTTGATTTCAGGTTCTGTTTCTTCCTTGTTATCTACACTATTAACACTTTTACTCTGATTATTTTCAACATTTTTCACAGAACAGACTTCATTGCTCTCAATTATTTCAACACTAGAATCACTTGATTCGCATATTAGTGCATCCCCAAGAGTCACTTTCCAGGTAGAAATGTAATCACACATTGTACCACGAAATCCATGTAATGCTTCGACAGATGAATCCAATAGGTTGTAAAAATTAAGCAAGGAATTATTAATATCATTAATGCTAAAAGTATCTGACACAAAAGGTTTCCCAGTAGCCTCATGCTTGATCTTCTTGACCAAAGACTCGGAAAAAACAAGGAGTTCATTACCAAGTCCATTTAGCCAATCTTTCACAGTGGGAAAATGATGATCTGGAAGTTCACTACTTTTAAAACAAGGACATTTAACTTTCTCATTTTCCTTCAAAGCATTCAAATTCCTATTGCTTTTCAGTAAAGAAACCCTTTCTCTGGTCTGAAAAAATTAAAAACCACATTTAATTAAATCACTAAAACAAATAATATATATATATATGATATAATAATGCAAATGCATAATCTGTACAGGTGAGATAAACTTGAGACAAACTATTAACAAAAATTAGTGACAATATATCATTCCTAACAATGGTAGAGACATAAGAACTCTACAAAACAATAAACATAAAACTGACAGACGAGATCAAATCATATTCCATATATATATCATTATATTATGTATATTGATATATGTTGTAAGTACAAAATGTGAATTCTAAAATTAAGTATTTCCAATTTTCATCTTTTTAGGCTCGTGACATGAATAGTTATCCAGGAGTGAAACTGGAAATCGTAACATTCATAGCATAGCAAACCCTCATTGTTTCCTTCTGAAACAACAGCAAAAGCATGACTTCCTAAAAAGTTTTGCCGGGAACGTTCTATTGAAAATTAGTGAATTGATGAAATAACTCTTTTTACAGAACACTGACAATAAATTGATAACAAGAATTTAAATTAATCCATTCCTATGTTTTATTTCTAAACCAACCATGAATAAAAACAAGATAGTACATTTACGAGCAAAAACAATGGAGGTTATAAATCAAAAACAATCTTCTTTCATACATATATTTTATATTTCATAAAATCTGAATCTGAATAATTAGAACTGCTACGAAAAAAAGATTTTAAAGTTTATATAATTTAAATGAAAAACAATTTATTTTTTAATTTTTAATTGTTAGTTTCAAGTTAAACAATCTGTGTTACTCATTAAATATTTGATAATAAAATGGTCTTGCCAATATGTAATGCAATTACATGAATTAATGATTTTAAAATGTATGTAATAATAGTTAAATTCAGAAATGTAGAATGCAAGGTACACAACAAAAACATAATTTAAGAAGTTTCTGGTAACAAGCAGCAGATAACTTTAAATTATAATAGAATTTAAAAATAATAAATCAACATTAATTAGCAACTACCTTTTTCTGATAAGGTTTTCCAACCATCATACACACTATAAAATTAAAGTTGTTTTTCTTCTATGAATGTGACATTGATCATAAGTAATAATAATCATAAAATCAGAATTAAGAAATTGACTTCATCGAAACTTGATATCCATCGTAGTATTTTCTCAAATTGAAAAACTTAAACCTATGTTTGTTATTGAAAAGTTTGAACCTCCCCCGAATACGGTAGTCAAACAATCAGTGTTGCTATAACTCTACAAATCTTAGCAGTGTTTACTCTAAAAACTAAGTGATATAAATTAAGCAAATTGTAGCACAATTTTAATCGATATAATAATAAAAAAGTTTTATAACTAAAATTTATTTCAAAATTTTAACTTTGGTTCAGTTATAGCGTACCTTACCCAATCAGGTTATGGGGTGGATATATTTTTGAGGTCACAAAACAAAAAATAAATAAATAATTATAATAAATAAAAAACAAAATTTATCTTGAATAAAAAAAACATTTTTTAATCATGTTTATCTATTTCTATTTTTTTCTGTTAGCCCCTATATCGCCATCACAGGCGGATTTACGGGGAGGCGCTTTCGGGCTGAAGCCCCTTCCCCAAAACGGTAAAATATAACCATGTTTTATAGAAAAAAAATATTAAAAATTAGCTCTTAAAGTATTCTTGTTCGTGTAATTATATTAAATAGGACTTCAAGAATCACTTGAAACACCATTTCATATAGGTAGTTCATTTCTTTCTTTTTTTTTTTTTAATTAATTATCGTTATAAATATATGAAAAAAAATGTTTCGGGCTGAAGCCCCCCTTCAAAATTAAATCCTGGTGATCGCCATCGAATCCATGGGGGGAGCTTTCGAACTGAAGCACCACTGTATTGGTGCAGACCCTACACGATCAGTCATGAATGACAATCACAAGACTGACATGAGTTGCTTCAATTACGATTGACTCTTAAAGTATTAATCAAACTGACGTTGTTTTATCTGTATAGACGTTGAGATAACAGGCAGTGTATTGCTGGCCTCCTCCAAAATGGTAAAATTTAACCATGTTTTATGGTAAATAATATTAAAAAATTATGTCTTAAAGTATTACTGCTCATTTAATTACATTAATTAGGACTTCAAGAATCACTTAAATACCGTTTCATATACGTAGTTAGTATTTTTCTGTTTTTCCAAAATAATTATCGTTATATATATGAAAAAAAAAGCTTCTGGGCTGAAGCTCCCCCAAAATTAAATCCTGGATCCGCTAGTGCTCATGTCTATTAATAATATATTTCATTAAAATAGCTTATAACACTGGCAGATCCAGAATTTAATTTTGGGGGGAGGGCTTCAGCCTGAAAGCTTTCTTCCATATATATATAAAACGATAATTAATTTGAAAAAAAAGTAAGAAATTAATTACCAATATGAAATGTATATGAAATGTTGTTTAAGTGGTTCGAAGCCTTATCTCCATCCCCATCCCCACATCCCCACATATATTATTACAGTAAAGCTCGAAATCGGCTTTGTACCAAATATAAGATCATGTCTTGCCCAAATACATGAATGGGATACCGTTGGATTCATAGTCTCACAGGGGATTAGCGAATCGTATTCTCCACTTTTGATTTTCTTTCTAAAATAAATAAAGTCGATACAAACATTTTGCTAGGCTTCAATACTGGAACGGTGGTAAGTCTGTGGATCGATCCGGAACAAATTGGGCTTTTGAAGATTTTGATGAGTACAATAAGACCCGGATAGTTCTTTCGGTGCGTTTTCAAGCCCCAAAACGTATTATTTTCGAGATAATGCAAGGCATAGTATTCACAACCACACAACCTTACGTTAATTGTAGTACTGTCATTGAATACATGCCTCATTTCGTCGATTTGAAGTCTCTATGATCGATAGAGAAGTAGTTTATATTATTTATCAATGGTGGTTTTGATCGACAAACCGTATTATCGTTAATTCATCTCCAAATCTCGAGATTGAGCCACCAATTTTGAAGGCTTCCTTCTCCTTCAGGCGGACAAAATAGTCCAATCAACCCGAAAATTCAGGCAAACAAATTATGAAAGAAAATAAACTTTATTTGCGAATGACTAAAAAATTATACATTTCCCTTTATGTGTATGTCTATCATGCTTATGCCCATGATTATATAAAATATTACTAAATTCCCTAGAAGAGGAAAAAAAAAAATCATCGATATCGGACAATTTTTAGCAAAGATACAGCTTATTGAAATTTGTAAACATGTTAGTTCCAAACTTTAATGAAGCAACTTTCGATAACCATCTCTGTTAGTTTACGTAAGCCCCACTACCAATGCCGGCCATGGGGTTATAGCCCTGGGGCGCGGACCTAGAGATGCGCCTGACTCTTGATATACATTTCTGATTTTCATTTTTAAAAATCTGATGCGGTTCGCACGTCACACGCTTTTCACTTACTAGCCTTAGAGTAGATAGTTCTTTTCATATAAAGGGAAGTCAGAGTGAAAACGACGGTATAACTTCACTTTAAAAATTACCAATTTGTTATCACCCATCAAATCTGTTAAATTTATACATTTGCATCACATTACATTACATTTTACGACTGCGTATAGAAGGGGCGTCCAAACGTTTTGGGCTCGCGGGTCTCGTTGAGATTTATTACGCGGGTCACAGCTTCCAAAAAAAAATCGTATTCTATAAATGACACTTCAGCTGTGAAATGAGGTTTCTAAGGTGGAAAAAACATGCGATAAATATTGTAGTAACCCCGTGTGTGAGTAATTTGCAAAATTTTATATTTTTAAAATTTTACAATCTTACTTTAATTTACAATACTACAATTTACATTAATGACCTTCCCCTCCTGCTCTATCATTCCGAATACCATATCTATGCTGACGATTTCCAAATATACCTGTCCTTTCCCCTTCTAACCTATTAGCCGCCACAAAAAGCTTCAAGAAGATTTAAATAGAATATATGACTGGGCAGGAACTAACAAGCTGAAGTTGAATGCTGAAAAGACCAAGGCAATCCTAATAGGCTCCAATCACCTCCTCAAAACTGTTCCTAACTTTCCAATCCTGTTCCTACATGATAATCCCATTAAATTTTATTCCAACATCAAAAACCTTGGAATAATCTTTGATCAAACCCTTTCCTGGAAAAACCACGTGTCTGATATCTCCCGACGTACCTTTTCCACCCTAAAAAACTTAAATAGACTGCACCACCTTTTTCCTTTTGAAATCCGTAGACTCCTGGTCATCTCCTTAATATTTCCCTACTTCGACTATTGCTGCACGGTATATGGAGGCTTCTCTGGGGATCTCGAGGCGAAACTAAAACGTTTGATAAATTTCTTTGTACGATTCATCTTCGGGATCCCAAGAGACGCCCCTGTTTCCTATTTCTATGAAGAGTTGAAGTGGCTTTATCCTTCCTACCGCCGTAAGTATTTCCTGGCATCCTTCCTCTTCCAAGTAATTCACTCCCGTCGTCTTCCATACATCGCCGAGCTCCTTCAATTTAAATCTTCTGTCCACTCCCGCAATACCTGTTCCCGGTTTTCAGATTTATATATAATGGCCCACAGAACCGCTGCTTTCGATAAATCTTTTATTATTCGATCCTCTTCCCCATGGAACTCCATCCCTCCCCACATCCGTCAATCCAAAACCCTTCCTACCTTTAAATCCCAACTGTTTAATCATTTCTTATACATCCAGTCCTCATAAAATTGTAAATAGTTACTACTGTAAATATGAATATAAATTATTAGATCGTTCTTTATTATTTTTACTTCATGTTTATTTTCATTTTTTTATTTTTTTATTATTAACTGATGTAAATTATAAAACAACTTATAATTTCTCTTATTATTATTTTTTATTTAATTATTATTTTTTTACTATTTAATAAAACTATATTCTTGTTTATGTATCTCTGAGGCTCCTTAGCCCACATTTTTGTCTCTTTGTATTATTCTAAAGGGACTCGTCCCAGAATAAATAAAGCTTTATTGTTATTATTACTTAAGAAACTTCCGCGTGCCGGATTGAAGGTGCTTGCGGGTCGCAGTTTGGCACTAGCGGATCCAAGATTTAATTTTGGGGGGACTTCAGCCCGGAAGCTTTTTTTTTCCATGTATATAACGATAATTACTTTGGAAAAACAGAAAGATACTAACTACCTATATGAAATGGTGTTTAAGTGATTCTTGAAGCCCTACTAAATGTAATTAAACGAGCAATAATTCTTTAAGGCATGATTTTTTTATATTTGTTACCATAAAACGTTGATATTAGTGATATTGATATTAGTACTTCAAAATTACTAGTTTTTCAAAAATATTTGCAATATCGATGAAAATATCATCTCCCGGTAATATCGATATTTCAACTTAGTTTTAGGACAATAATTCGTCAGTCCCGTCCATAAAATGAAAGTGAAAATAAATATGAACTTGCAATATGATTAAATAGTATATTGTAATTAACGCGATTTAGTCTTAGTTGACATCAATTTGTTGTAAAATTGTAAATCATAGGCCATCTTTTACGCGGGATTAGGGACGTTAGTTTGTACGTTTTTTTACTTTTTCCAGTCATTATTAATGATTTTTTGTTACCGAAATAATCAAAGAGAGCACAGACGACATTACGGAATAATTTTTTTTTTTTTTGTTTTAATTTCTTTTTTGAGTATTATAACAATCTGTCTGTTGGACATTGGTTATAGTGAGGTAGGATGACATTCACACTATATGTACAAAAAAATAAAATAAATAGAACAAAATAATAATCAAAAGTATATACAATAGACAATAAAATAAAATAACCTAAAAAATAAGAAAATTAAAACTAAGAAAAAAAAAAACCACATGCATACCTATATACAATCCGGCGAGGGAACTCCAGGAGAACCCTGCGCTACTCTCCCAACCGCGTTACTGGTACTAAAGCCAGCGGAGATTGGTCGAGAGCACTTAACGGAATAATTAAAACAAAAACTAGTCGTATGAAACTGCTGCACCAGTTTTTTTTTTTCCATTGCTAATGAGTACGTGTCTGATAGATGTCTTTTAGTGCTACATAAGCGTTGTATTATTGCTTTTATCAATTAAACCTGTACCACTGCAACCCATGAATGGTCTTAGGTTCAGTACTTCGTAACGAAGTACTGTTTCAAGGCCAAAATTTGTGCAGGGAATTGATCGAGCCGGTTTTCCTCGTTCATTATTTATTAAATTATGAGTACCCACATTGTAGAGGCTGGATGTGCTGCAGGAGGATTCACCGCTAATGAAAAATTACTTGTCATCAGCCGGATTCCAACCTAGGACCTTGAGCTTAACACTCTAAATACTGAGCCACAACACTCCCTCTGTTATCGAGTAATTTTTTTAAATTTTAGAAATCAAATTACAGCTATTTAAAATTGTAGTTGTTAATTGCATTGAAATTACATTGGTCCGAGTTGTAGTTGTAATTTTGGAATCCAATTATAATTAAAGGGGTTCATGAAGTAATTGTAATAATAATTAAAATTAATTGAATTTTTGCACTTCCAAATTACATTAATTAGTTGTAATTTAAATTAATGTTTGCCAAAAATTGCTTGCAGGTCTGATAACCTACCGGGCGCACAACATATTTTGAAACTTGATTATTGAGACCTTTTCCGTGAAAACACGAATTTGAAAACTTACAAGATCACAATACTTTCTCCTATAATATATATATATATATATATATATATATATATATATATATATATATATATATATATATATGTATACTTATATATTTCATATATAGACAAGATGAAGTAAAAAATATTATTGAATATTTAATAGTTGACCGTTGCATTATAAAGGAAGGAGATGGTCCGGAGTGGGGGTCAGAAATAGGCTAAATAGTGGTAAAACTATTTTTATTAAAAGCCGATGTTTCGACCCGACTTTGCAGGTCTTCTTCAAGGGTAGAACGGACAAGATATACTTCTATAGATCTTCAGGAGAAATTGATAGAAAAGGGAAAAAGGAATATAATATGAAATAATAGACATAAAGGAACGTGGAGAAACTAAAGAGAGGAAATTAAAAATTAAATAAATAGGTGAATAAAATGAAAGAATGAAATTAGAGACTTAAAGGTGTGTTCAGCTAGGAGTTCCACTTAGAACTGGCCCTGGAGTCCATTCTAGCCCTGAAGAAGACCTGCAAAGTCGGGTCGAAACGTTGGCTTTTAATAAAAATAGTTCTACCACTATTTAGCCTGTTTATGACTGCCACCCCGGACCATCTCCTTCCTTTAAAAAATATTATTGTTAGGTTTGAGGGTAGGATATATGCTTTTTTCAAATATATTTTTTGATAATTAATTTAGTATTTATTAATTAATTTAGCATTTAAGCGACTATGAGCACAGAATACTTAAGCCTTGAGGAGATAGAATACTTTTCATCACCTCTACTGACAACTTACGTGTTTTTATTTAAGCCACCCTTTATAAATACCCATAATCTCCAGTCACAGAAAAATATCTATTAACTCTTCAAAACATGAAAAAATTGAAAAGGTATTATTTAGCTATTTTTTAAAGTGCTCAATTGGCATTATTCGCAATTATAAATTGGTAACTATTGGATTATTTATGAGTTTTTTTTTATTAATTAACATCTCACCCAGACACGTTTCTCATCATAATCTCAAAATTCATTTTTAAACTTTTGTCACACTTGATTCGAAATCGGCCACATTATGTGTTGTCTGGACCCGATTCCATCTCGATTCATATAAGACTTCAAGGGTTAAAAAAAAGATTTATTTTTGACAATTACACGGCCATATTTCACTAAAATGCAGGTGAAATATAAACTAACCTGTCAACGTTTACCAGTTCAGGGATTATCAAGGCTGAAAAAACAAGATCACACATTCATGAATATCGCCGGTTTATTGCAAAAAGTCACTAAGTATATTTTTGATGGAGCTGAACCTTTTAAAACGATTTTGTGGATTAGGTTCTATTTATAAAAAATATGAGATGTTCACAAAATGGCACAAATCTTTTACACATCAAATATAGTCATAGTTAATATAGCGATAATGGACGGGGTAAGATGTATGAGTTCATGGTTGAACAAAGTTTTTTTTACTAAAGATTCATCTTGTAAGTCAGTACCTGATGGAAGTTTTTATAGTACTACGTTGCAGTATATTACATCGTTTTAATATCCAAGTACTTGTCTAGTAAGTGATTGTTACTATTTTTCACAGCCTTTTGAGTGGATGTTGAAATTTTTTAGATGTTTCGAGGCTAGGGCATCCCCATGGGCTTGAAGAATGTCCATAAAGTGTAGTATGTAAATGAAATATATGATAAAAGAGAATTTTTCCTTGGCAATAAATATCTACACAACAAATTGCAATAAAATTGTGAGAAAAAAATTATATTAAACAGTTAGATAGATCTCCCATTCTGAATCTGTAGAGTTTTTATCTTCTTCATCGTCTTCGTCGTCATCTTCATAGGTATCTCTCATCCAACGATAATTGTTAAAAAATCTAAGATGCTTTGGATAGGCATAGTTTGCTTTATCATACCTGTATCCTACGTTGGGACCATAGATATAACCGTATGGATAGATTTTGCCAAATGGAGGGATGTTGGGTGAATAAAGATTGTTATAAGAAAATGGTGGAGGAAACATCTGACGATATTCGGGTGGTTTGTAATAAATCGGTTTCGGCTGAATTGGATCTTGTTCAGCACCAATCAGTGATAAAGACAGCTTTTGTGTTAATGGATCTCTCACTACAACAACAGGTATGTCAGAGAGGCTTGGTGGTATCCTCACTACCACTTTGGCGTCCTTCTTATTTCCTGTTCAACAATATATCCAATTAGATAAAACTTAGCGAAATATGTAATCAATAAACACATTAAAAATAGTATGAAAAAAATCTCACAGCTAAAAAAAATATAAATTATGTTAATTAAATAAAAAAATGTATGACGTATAAGGCGAACAGGTTCAAATGGAAACGGTATAAAAATATTTTAAAAAATAAATAAACAACCATTCAACTTTCCACTATGAGTATTAACTTGGTTTGAAAAATTTTTAGGCCTCCGTAAATTTCTGAGTGGCTTTCACTAATCTCTCTCGTTCAAGATACCTGGAGGTTTTGTTGATATTGCAAGTTAGGTTTTTTAAGTCATTGCTCCATTGGGAAGAAATATAACAAATCATATAGATCGCCTTAAAACTGGGAGATCTTCATTAATCGTCGAACTGTTGAAAAAAGTAATTAACTGCTGGACAGAACTGAGCTAAATGAGTGATGATCAATTACCTAGACAGTGCATTAATAGACATAGAGCTCTGGATTCATCTGGAGTAAAACCTGGCCCAATCTATAATTGGGTCACCTAAGTAAAGCTGATTGTGGCAGTAGTAGGAGTTCACATGTTCTAGAAATCATTGAAAAAATGAGAAACTATCAGGCATTCAAGGACATACTGTCATGGAAGGCCATCGTGCTGGGTCGAGAAATACTGGTATCTTCGCCATCACCGAAACGGACCTACCCCGACTGATGGAAGAGACGATCTAACCCTTCTTCCGAGATTACGTCAGCGGGTGGAAGGAAGTGGTGGGCCCTTCTCACTTTAGTCTTGGTAGAGTTCCGATACCCGATATCGGCGAGTCGGATGAGAATGAGACACAAGAAAATGGCAGATGAGAACCAACGGATGTAGTGGACCAGGTGGTCTAGGTGGCAATCCGGACGGTACAGATTAAGCCGATTGCAGAGTGCCGGGAGAGTTTGCCACGTGATCCAGCAGAGGATATGCTTCGGTCCCATCAGGAGTACCTCCGTGCACGAGCCGTCACACCGTTGAACCTAGTATATTGTTCTCATCATTAGAATATGATTTTTTTTTTTTATTTGTTTATTTAGAAATATTACATTCTGTCACATCAAGGACATTTATAATAGTGATCAGAGAAAGCACACTCACACTCTATTTACAATAAAAAAAAAATAAATAATACAGAAACTTAATAATAATAAATACAATAAAATAAAATAAAAATAAATACAATAAAATAAAATAAATGTATATAAACAAAAGAACTAACCTAATCATACACACTCGGGCTTGAGTGGAGGATCTGGCCATTGCCAAAACTCCAATAGATGCTTATTTACAAAAGGTCTCTGGGCCACTGCCGCTTCAACCTTCGAGGAGGATTGTAAGGATGGGTGGTGCTGGATAGAGATTGTGCAAGGGGATTTGGATGATAGGTAAGGTTTTGGTGAAATTTGGAGAATTTTTCTGGAATAAGGTCTAGGACAAATGGGATATTAAGGTCATGGTGTAGGATTTTGTTATTTACATAAAACGGAGCATCAACTATTGTTCGAAGGACTTTAGATTGAAAGGATTGAATACGTTTGATGTTAGAAGCTTTTGCTGTCCCCCAAAGTTCAAGTCCGTATGTCCATATAGGTTTCAGTATTGTAATATGATTTAATGTTGTATAATAAGAAATATTGATATTAAAGTATTTTATTGGCAGTAGTGAGCGTAAGTATACCCAACTTATTAACCCACTACAGCTGAAATCCCGAAACACCGTGGGCCAGAAATGGCTGGTAGGGAGAAAGAATAATAATATAAAAAATGCATCCAAGGACATTGATGGTGTTCTAAATGCTTGTTCAACCTCCAGAAATAAAGAAACCTGCTCCTTCAATATCACTGGACCAGAAGATTATTCGCAGTTCAAGAATTAATGAATAGTTCGGTCAATAAATGATTATAGAAGGAAATCGCTGAGACACAATTTTTGACTTCGGGAAATTGTTTGGAGTATTTAGAAAGTAAACATACTAAAAGTCCCGACTCCTAGGTGGTGAGCCAGGTGTGGGGAGGAGGCACTAGAAAGTCTTTTGTTTGAGGTTTTCGCTTATATCTAGAAAACTAATTTCCGTGATATCCATCCTTAAATATGGCTAATTTTATAAAAAAAAAAAAAGAAAATACAATGTTTGCCTCATATTTATTGACGTATTTCGGGTTTTCTCTTGTATCAGGAAAAATATCCATCACATCGACAAAGACGTCTTATGCAAAATTAAAGCTGATAAAATTAGCAATATGATTGGCAATATACTTTTTTTCATTACCACGCTTAGTTTCCGAGATATCCATCCTTAACTATCGCTAATTTAGATTGTAAATGTTTACAACATGTTTTTTTACTGTATTTGACTAGTTAACTCTTGATTGCTTCATTCTATGATTAAGTCATGCAGAAGAAAGTTTTTAAGAATTACTTTAATTAGTTTACCTCCAACGGTTCAAAAGTTTGATCAATTATAACTTTACATGTCAATTCCGAGAATCAGCAGATAAAAATAATTTTTATAATATTTGTTGTTACACACAAACAATATAAATACATGTATATATATGCGTGAGTGTGTGTTTTTGTATGTAGGTGTATACGAGTATCTATGCAGAGAGTTAGAGCAATATAATAACGTATATCATAAAAAAAAAATTTTCTGCAAATTTTCGGTATTGACATGTAAAGCTATAATTGAGCCAACTTTTAAACCGTTGACAGAAATGTCCATTTTTTAGATTTATGCCAGGTTTTAAGGCGTTCTGTTCCACTTTCATTTCGTCATTGAGGACATTTCGTAGAGCATTATCTCAAAATGGACGATTTTAGTTCTTAAAAATTTTGGGTCTGGCGCATTCCATTTGAACTAGAATTTGATACTTACATTAAAACCTTCAAAACCCATTTTGTTCCATTCCGATTCGCCAACTTTTTGCACAGTTTTGAGTTATAAAATATTCTGCTTTTAACTATCACTTTTACTCAATTAACAGTAATATTCAGAATATGATAATCTAACATTATGTTAAGAAATAATGTATAGTAGATTCCTAACTGATATCGTTTTTATATTTTAACGAATTTCAATGTTTAATGAGTGAGATTTTACCTGCATGCTGCTTCGCTACATAACGCTGTGTCTCTGTCGTAGGACTAGGTTGCGTCTGTGAATACCTAATTTCGGTAGTAAGGAATGTTGATTTCCGCCTGCAATGTTTTCTGTTTTTCCTACCTTTTTCTTTCTTCTTTTCAAAATTCTTTCCTGAATCATTCTTATCATATCCTTTTCCAGGTATGAATGTAGGAGACAGGATATCATCCAGTCGATCTTCACCTCCAGAACATGTTGGAAAATAGAGGTCAACAGGAATTTTGGGGTATGGTGGAGTCTCAATATGACGAAATCTTGTATCTGTTAATGTTTTGGTATAATCTGTACGCTGTTCACAATTGTTTTCAGAGTTCTTTTTATCCTGAAGAAGAAAAAAAAAACACAGGTGAATAAACTACTTTAGTTACAAAACATTTTAAACTTTAAGAGTAATGTTAAACTTTCGGCAGGAAAAACTGAGTGTTTTTAATTTATTAACTTTAAATTTCTGTTCAGTTTTCATTGTAAGCTTAAGGCAAAGATGGAATATTAATAATATTTTTGTTGTGCATTTATTTCTGAATACAGCCGAGGTCAAAATTGAACTGAAAAGCTCAAACACTTACTTTCCAATACAATTGTTCTTACCGGATTTCAGGAATTAATTTATTTTTTTTTTTTAATAACAGTATTTATTCTGAAAGAAAAAAAAAACACCGATATGAAATGATGTTTAAGTGGTCCTTGTAGGCAAACAAAAAGGTTAATACAGTAATTACAGGAACTTTAATGCTTTTAAAAACAAATCTTATATAGATACCTTATTATGTTTGTCCCTGACATGTGCATTTACTAGCTTTATATGGATTATAATTTAAAAGAGAATATCGCGGGGTTATAGCAAAAAGTCATTAAGTGACATTTAAGAACTTTATGAATTTTCTCTATGTGAAATTAGAAAATAATATTCTTACAAGGAGAGGGTACAGTAAGTAGGTCACCGATTTCAACCGAAAAATATTGGACACATCTCCGAGTTCTTTCCAAAGGGTCCCACCAGCTAGGAGCCGAATTTATATAATTTCAACCAAAATCAGTGTTATCTATTTTTGCACTGGCTTTGTCCGGATTTTTAGGTTATGCTGTGTATCAATCGATTTAATGTTTTGTGCAAAATAAGAAAAACATATTTACTATCGTATTAAATTAATTAGAATGTAACATAAATTACAAAAACCAAAACGCGCTTCCAATATAGTAGGCCAATTAAATGTTTGTTATCAAAAAGCAAGTAAGATTCTTTTATAGAGCCCTTCAAAATTCTTAAATATAAATTTAAAAATATAACATTAAGTACTTCATTTTCTTGGATTTCCGATCTTTTTTTTTTTTGGGCCGTCAACTAAAGCATTCATAACCCCTCAGAATTTTTCTCAAATTCAACAACAATATAACCGTAGGAAAGATCAATTATTGCTCTTCCAACAGACACCAATAACTTTTGGATTTAATCTGTTTTAGTTTTATAGTTTAGCTACAACAACTAGTATTAAAGGGTTTTTTGAGGTGCAAAAAACGAATATCTGCTTTATATATCCCTAAGAAAATATTGACTCTAGATAAGAGACCGGTTTTGAATAAATATTATATTTTACAGATAGCTACATTATTGGCACAATTTAGACTAATCGACATATCAATGTGAGACTAAATATATTTTTTAGAGAAGAACAAAGTTGATATTCGTTTTTCGCAACCTCAAATAGCCCCTAAATACGAACTTTTCTATCAATCTAAAAATTAAAACTTTTTCCACGAAAATTTTGCCTAAGCTCGACCCTTTGAAATTTTGTTCACAGCCACAAAAACTGTGATAATTTTAGAAGCAATCCACCGATCCCCACGATAATTATTATGAATTGAGGCTCTATATGCTAAAAATATTTTTTTTCTCGCCTTCTAGAAATCATTGGAACGAACGGCGGTATATGTGTCCAATATTTGTGGATGTTGTATCACCGAAAAAAAAAATGGGTTGAAATCGGTGACCCACTGACTGTAGTCTCCCCTTGTTAAAGTATTATGATATATGATAAATAAGAAGGCGTATGTCATTTTCATGTATGTACAGTGTTTTTCTTTAGATAAATAAGGTCGAAATTCACAAAAACATATTCAACTTGGCAGAGGAGAAAGCTGTAAGAGAGGCCGGGATTCGGATAATCCTGCATAATCTTCAATCACCTGACACAGCTTTTTGGTTTTGCTGATGATACTGATATCATAGGAAGGTCTGAACGGGTTCTCAGAGAAGCGTTTACAGTCCTTGAAGCAGCTGCAAGACGATTGATCTAGAAGTCAACGAGAAGAAAATCAAGTATCAAGGTAGGATCTTTTATGTTTGAGAGAGTGAAAAGCTTTATATACGTTGGGTCTGAAGTTAATAGCAAGAATGACATGACTCAAGAAATACAGAGAAGGATCACGGCTGCCAATAGACGTGTCTTTGGACTTGGCTGACACTTTAGACGTACCTCTCGAAGAAGACCAAGCTGATCATATACTAGACCCTTGTAAGGCCAATTTTGACGTATGGCTCAGAGGCATGGACGATGACGAAAAGTGATGAGATGAAGCTGAGTGTGTTCGAGCCAGGAGTCCTCAGAAGGATCTATGGTCCAGTAAAGGAGGGAGATGTCTGGAGGGAAAGAAAAAGTAGGGAGCCCAGTTCTGTTCATACAGACATCGACGTAGTCACCTACATTAAACTTGCCAGACTAAGATGGGCAGGGCATGTGGCCTGAATGAGCGCCTGTGAAATACCCAAAAAATGTTATGATTGAGGCGCTGTACGTCGCTAGACGGGTAGGAAGGCCGAGGGAAGAGATGGCTAGACAGCGTGGCCTATGATGCAAGAACCCTGCTTGGGGTACCGAACTGGAGAACTGCAGCAGAAGACAGAGCCAACTGCCGGAGGCACTTGGAGGAGGCTCAGTTTCGGTAACGGGACGTGGCGCCACATATATATGAATGTATATCAAAAACGCACTTAGTGATTTTTTGCAATAAACCGATGATATATTGTAATTGTTTAAGTATTTAACTTAAATCACTCACAAAAACAATTATGTACGAACAAAAAAAATATTTGCAATTTGGAAGGCTTCAATCCGAAAGCCCTCTCCCAAAAATTCGTCAGTTTAGCAACCTGGTATCTATCCGTTTATTGCTTGATATTTATGAATCTATATATTCTAGTATATCTATTCTTTACCGAAATATATATTTCTATTTATATATTATGTTTCGATAAATACGTTAATGTACCTGAGCAATATTGCGCTAATTTATCCTAAAACGCAAAAGCGTTTATGAGCCTAGTAAATCAGTGGTTGATCCAGGAATTTACAGAAGGGGAGGGAGGCAATAGCCGATCCAGGATTTAATTTTGGGGGGAGGCTTCAGCCCTAAAACTTTTGTTTTCATAAAAATAACGATAATTACTTTGGATAAACAGAAAGTGACTAACTACCTATATGAAATGGTGTTTAAGTGATTCCTTAAGTCGTTTTAAATGTAATTACACGAACAATAATACTTTAAGAGGTATTTTTAATTTTTTTTTTCTATAAAACATGGTTATATTTTACCCTCTTGGGGGGAGGGGCTTCAGCACACGACTCCCCTCCTCCCCCCTCACCCCTGTAAATCCGCCCGTGTTGGGAGGGACGCCTTAAACACGACATTTTAACATAAATTCAAATAGTTTCCAAGAGATCAGAGCACTCTAGTGTATGATTATAGAAGGAAATGGCGTGGAAACAATTTTTGACTTAGGGACATTGTTTGGATTAGTAAGGAGGTAAACATATTAAAGTCTCCACTTCTAGGTGGTGGAACAGATGTGGGGGCGCTCTTAGAAGGTCACTTTCTTCGAGTTTTCGCTCATATCAGAAAAATTATCTATCGCACCGACAAAGATATTCTGTTCAAAACTAAAGCTGATGAAATTTTCAATATGAATGATGAATGATGCAATATCGTTATCTCGCTTAGTTTCCGAGATATCCGTCGTCAACCATAGCTAATATGGAAAAAAAAATGTTTGCCTCTTGTTTTTTACTTTTGATTCCTTCGTTCTACGATTAATTTGTGAGGAAGAAAGGTTTTAATAATTAAACTTCCTCAACGAATATGTATTATTTTCCTAGTTTATCTTTAAAGATTCAAATGTTATATCAATTATAACTTTTTATGTCAATTCCGAGAATTTGCAGTAAAAAATAATTTTTATTACAAACTTTATTGTATGTTTGTATACAAAGAGATTTAGATGTATAGGGAGTTAGAGCAATATAATAATAACGATTATTATTAAAATTAATTTATCCTGCGAATTCTCGGAATTGGCATATGAAGTCATGATTGATCTAACATTTGAACAGCTACAGATAACCTAGTAAAAAAATATACATATTCTTGAAATTTAATAAAATATATATTAATATATAAGAAAATTTATTTCTTAAAAATTTTCTTCCCCATGACTTAATCGTAAGCAATTAATTGTTAGCTAGTCAAATGCAGTAAAAACCATGAGGTAAATTTTTTTTTTACGAAATACTTGAGGACAAAGAGTTATGTTGAGTACATTTTTATAATTAATTTATTAATTTAATATATGTATATTTTTCTTGACAGTAATTTTTGCATATGTTATATATTCCTGGTAGTTCATATATATATAACGTGGGTATATAGTTCATATATATATAATAATCATATATATATATATATATATATATATATATGATTATTCCAAATCTACTATTAACGACTGAAACCGTTCATAACATTTAAAAGCACCGTTAAATTTCTATTAAAACGTCAATCAAAATAAATATTCCAATATTTAAAAAAATAAATTTTTCTGATATATTTATTACTTTGTATGTTTCCAACCTGTGTTACACGGATCCACTCACAAATATGGATTATAAATAATGTCTGTTCCATAATCTTCGACGGGTGATTAATATTTGAAATTAACATGAAACACATAAACCATCAGTTACAAATAAAATTAAAACTAGCTAAAAAGAAAGTTTTTATATAAAGATTTTAGCTACTACTTAAAGAAAACTTATGGTACTTTCGCGTAAAAAATATTTTTAGCACTTTTTCGGTTGTTGTCATCGACATTAAAAATATTCCTTCTGCACCCATTAGGAGCTTAGACAAGGAGATTGTCTTGTGTGCCTACTTTTTAACTTGGCCCTGGATGTGTTGTGATATCTGGCATCCACGTTGGTGGTTCAATAGGACTGCAATAATCCTTTGGTATGCGGATGATATTAACATAATGGGAAGAACTTTTGAAGC